CCCCCCCCCCCGGTGGCGGCGCCCATGCTCTGAACTACAAACGAGGCACTAGAGATGGGCCCCGCTCGTGTGTGACCTCAGCAATCATATAACGCATTTCCCCAATGGGCGATAACGTAATGAAGCGACCCTCATGGCGCAGGTCGTGACACTGCAAAGGGCAGCTCATTTTTAATTCGATGGCATCATAGAGGGCCGCGATACACATCAAAGCCCATCACGGAAAGATTGATTTGCCATCCGCCAAGTTCTATTTCAAGAGGTGAATAATAAAAGCCGGGTGATGAGGATGATACGTGACGACTAATACGAAAACCCAACGTGGGAGGGATTTAATTTGTTTTCGGTAGGATTGGCCAGCAAAGCCTTTACTTCGCTTTTATTCTTCATAAGCAATTAGATGTAAAGAACTCCTTAGATCCTAACAATACGATAGGTACCTACGACTGTTACAAAGAAGCACGTATGTAACACCGAAAGGTTCGAGTGAAACACCTACGCACGACAAAACGTACCCCTTACGGATATTAAAAAGTTAATTGGGCTCAGGTCAATTTGGAGGATTCCATTATCCTGATGCAGCAACAAGCCGTATTATGCTGGCATGACAAAATGAGTCAATGAGGTATGCAATACGAATGCATTCAAGGTTACGTAAAACGAATCGGCACTTTCCAACGTGGGCTCATCATTTTTACCATTCGGACTGGGAGCCAATTCGTGTATTGGTACTTAGTTACTCAGCGGCTCGTTCTGTTCAGTGCAACTGAATGGGCAGCTCCCGAGACAGAATTCACCAATACATCCAAAGCTACATTGCGAGGGTCTTTTTTTCAGGAAGTCTTCTTATGGAAAAATGATGCCGTTATCGGCAAAGCAGCACCTGTGCCATGCCATATAGTACGGTATTTCGATTGGAAATGCGAATCACCTTTAGCCTTTTGGAAAGATATTTGATAAATGAGGCTTTAATTCAGTCACTTCTTACTATATTAGGTACTTGTCGAGAGTTGACAAGTATCAAGTGAGAGTAATATACTATTGTTAAGTGGACATGAGCTAGGTAAACAAGTCATTTATAGACGACGTATCGAGACCACGCCCATCCCTCTCCGTCAGTCAGGGCTCCAAAACACTAATTTCTACTGCAAATCGACCGATCCCTCATCCTCATCCTCCACTTCCCACAAAAAGTGGTCGAATCGCCTGTCCCGCCGCGACTGTACGGTCGACATCCTTATCCGGCCCCACAGGCCACGGGTATAGCGCCACGCTGAGCGCCATCACACAATGGTCGGTATCCCGACGCGGCCGCAGTCTCTCGGGCTGCCGCGGCCCGACACACATAGCCAGTGGAGGCCGACACACAGAGCCAGCGAGGCTGCGAGGCCCTGTTTACAGCGGTGGTTGGCTCTGAGCGGACAGCCGTGACGACAATGACCAGCCGTCACAGACGCCCAGGCGCCGCGGAGGCGGGAGAGCAAACAAAACAAAAACAAAACGGTTAATACGCAAACGGGTTACGCCAGGGTATCCAGTAAGAGACTGATGAATATGACGCTAAAAATAAAAATGGGCACAAAAAATGGAGCATTGTGGAATGTATCACAACGATGATAGCTCGACAATTAAACAAGTTGGTATTTTCACAAGTCTTTTTTCCGTCCGTATAACGCTCGTATTGCATGAAGTCACATTATAAATCTGAACCAACGTTAGCGACCGCCTTATTTCCATTCGCCCGATTTAACCACGGCTTGAGAAGGATGCTAAATGGATCTGCGAGCACAAACTAGGACGGCCAAACAGAAGTAAAATTCCAGCAGACTGCAAAACCGGACGATAAGACGAAGCTGTCGCACACCATAGATGGCCCGGAAATTTGACTGGACAGCTCAACATGCCGGCGTCCAGACAGACCAACACAGCTTGCGAGTCCAGCATCCCAGCACCGCATCGACGGATATTGCCGTTTTGAGCCCAGCGGATTCAATTTACTTAAAGCCTTTTGACAGGGTTGCATGAAAAGCTGCACATTTTAGTCGGAGTGAAATGACACGAACATTGAAAAATGGTTGGACCGCCGAGTCGCAAAATGTGCATTTCGACTTGGTAACCTACTGGGACACCAGCAGCGGAGTCCTGGCTACAGACTCTGATAGTGCGCGTTCTCCGGCCACGTATCTCACTGAACACGCACTGTTTATCACCACGTGAGTACAATTGTAGGTATATCTCAACGTCGTTTGTGTGATATATGCGACTCTTAAACACAAGAAAAATTGAAGCGGATGCTGTGAGATAAGAACAAATAACTAGATAAATAAAACAAATAAACGTATCTAGCGTCACGTCCAGATACTGCTCTAGGTTTATTGCCAACGGATGTCCAGCAATTTACGAGCTTTCCGGTACTTTTGCCTGTCAAAAGGAGTCGAGATTTATATCGACCATTATCAAAAAGTGGGAGACATGTAGGGAGACATGTGCTCTTTACACTTCATAAAAGTTCCATTTCCAGGATCCAGTTTGTGGTACCGGAAAATTATTTTACTTTTTATTTTCAGCGTCGAAAATTACATTTCCGAACTGAGCGCGAGAAAACAGCCACATACAAGGGGTGAGCTCTGGCGGCCGGCGCGCGGGTCGATGGTTTCTAGGCACCTCTCTGCGGCTGGGATTGGCCCGGTGAACAACGGGATGTCCCGAGCACAAACAGCCGGTCGGCGCCGTGTCAGCCGTGAGATATAGCAGACAGACGACCGAATCGCCAAAAGTCAACAACATACGAGGCATAAGCTCGATATGTTATAAGGAACTTCTGTGAAAAACACACTGACAAGGAAAAAACTGTTAGACAAGTCCTTGCCTACGAGGAATGTCTTACAGTCACTGACCTATAATAAGTATACTAAGTAGTCATCATAGGTCAATGCTTGCAGCCGATAATTTGTAAAATGTTGTCCGTTTATTTCAACAGCATGACGCGTGGGAAAAAATTGCCTACTTCCTACTTCTCCTCGGCCAATTCGTCCCAGCTACCATCGAATAGTCAGTAACATTCCAAGCCCGTTCCTGATGCACGAAGCAGCCACGGTACACGGGCATCTCGCTTCGACGCCGCTTAGCCAGATGTGCAAAAATACTCGATAATCATATGTTATCATGATTAGGAAAAAAAACTAGGAATAAGTTAAAATCCATTTGGAAAACTCGGTATGAATATTGAATGCACTATGCTTGAGCAAATACGCCAAATGATGATGCGCAATCATACAAACATCCATTGATGCTTTTGATTGCGCTCATGGACTCATGGACGGCACAGCCTGTAGGTAATTGCAACGAGGCCTGTATTTCTGCAGACTGAAGACAGACATGCACCATTACACGACGCTATCGTTACTAATTCTATCATAAAGCCTCGACGAAAAGCCAGAGCATTTCACATTAGCATGCATTTAGTGCTGGTCTGGTCTTTATTTTGAGCTGAGTATATCAGACACCATACATTGACGAAAACCCGCAAACGCCCGGCTTCCGACCGGCGGGGCTTCCTCTCAATATCAGCCTCTATATCAATGGCTAATTTCGGGCGCCGCCGGAGCTCCTGGGAAATTATCCCCTCTCACGCAGCACCGCCCATCAGTCACGACGCGCTCCAACTTGGTGGCAGATTTCGGAACACGCCTTACGCGAGCGAAGCCCGTCGGAGGCGCGGCCGAATCACTCCCATTCACCACAACTTCCCGGCCGACCGGCTGGCCAACTTCAGATCCCAGTCACTCAGCACCTGGGTGATTTCAAAGGCGGAGATTCAGAAATTCAATTCAGATGTTTGGCGGTTCGGAGAATCTCCAGATGGCCGTCAACTAGCACTTGGTGAGGCATGGAATTAAAGTGAGGTATTACCACCCCGGTCAGGGACAGACTCCAGACGCCATGAACAGGTCAGCTCGACTTCCGAGTGTACCAGGAAGACCGATCGGCGATTAAAAGGGTGGAGACTTCCAAGGTTAGCTGTCGTAAAACTCTTATAATATTGCAATCTTTCAGTTAAACCGCTTTTACTTGATTGTTCATAGATTAATGATTATCACTCATAGGTCTTATGGATAGATTGAGCAGCAGCTAATATATCAGTGCTTAAACAACAACGAATATATTCATTGCTTGTATTGCATTAGAATCAGAAGTTGACTCATCATAATAACGCCTCATCAGCTGAGAGTATTATACTTATATCGCCGAGTCCGTGGTCCAGTTTCATCCCAGCACCCCCCCCCCCCCCCATATATCCACGCCAGGGCTGAGGGTGGGCGGCCGGCAGCATGCCCCATTACCAACGATCAAGGTCCACCGGATATTGAAACTGAGCTGCGCGCTGAACTGATATATCAGAGGGCTAGTTTCTGGTTTGCATCTACACCTGTAAACCATTTCACTGAGCTAATAATGCCTAAAAGAAAAAAAACAGTAAAACGCACAATTTAGTGACACCGCTAGTTACGAAAACATGTGCGATAAATGATGTGAATGTGGTAGATGGTCATGGAGTGCCAGAGTCTGTATACAATATCTCCCCTTATGATACGGGATGCGGCGTTCTATTCAACAAGTACGAACATCTTATCTCAATAAATGCAACAGGAGAGCCGGCTGCTTTGCGAGCCCATTTCTTTATTCTTCTTGAATAATTCAGCAGCGTATCCACAGCGTTTTATATCTCAGGGTTAACGAAAACCCTATAATTCCGTATATCTAAAGTATAACCGTAATCGCTTAACAACAAACTGTCATTGTGCAAAGCAGTCATTGCAAGAGATTCGTCAAAAGGTCACATGAAACACATAAAACACAAGAGAAGTGACTGTCGTCCCACGGGCGGCACGGCCCCAACTCCCCAACCTAAAGACCATCACTCGGGCTGCGGGTTATGTTTTCCACCCCCCTCCCGTGCTGCAGGCATGGCTCTCATCCCTCTCCCTCCTTGGACTCACCTGTCGCGGCAGTAGACCAAGCCGAGTGACGAGGGTGTGCGCCACGTTGCTGACGTACTCGGGCATGGCTCCGAAGTGACGGTGGTACAGGTACACCTCCGCCGCCTGGGTGTCAAACACGTTCACCAGCCGCGTCTGCGCCTGGTGCCAGAGCAGATCCGACAGGCCGCGGCTGTCGTGCACCACCTTGCCGACACGCCGGTTCTCCAGCAGCGGCTGCAGCAGGCGCAGCGCCGCCGCACCGCCGCACGTAGGTACGTCCACGATAAACACGAACTCCTCGCAGGCCAGCGAGACGAGGCTGAGCTGGCCGGCGCGGCCCAGCAGGACACCCTCCGCCGCCAGACCGATGTTGGTCTGCCCGCTCAGAAACGACACCGCGTCCTCCAGCTCCTCGGCCGTCTCCACCAGCGCGTACCCCTCTGGGCGCGGCAGGAGCGGCGGCGGAGAGGCGGCGCGCGGCCGGCGCGCCTGCTGCTCGCCCGGGCCCGTCTCCGCGCTCGACGAGTCGTCGCTGTCGTCGATGGCGACATGGGACAGAAGCAGGCTGTCGTCCACCAGTTTCTGGGAGAACACGGGCTTCTCTCGCGAGCCGCGGTCTAGCACCTGATAATCACGACCAGCCGGCGGCGGAGGGCCCTTCTGCGGTGCCACGGCTGACCTGGCAGTGGGGGCGGCGGCAGAGTCGTCCGGCCCGCATTCCAGTACGCTGATGCTCCGTACGTCGCCGTGAACGAACTTCTGCACGCCACGCAGAGACTCCTCGCGGCCGCCACACTGGAACGTGACGCCGACCAGCCTGACGGAGGCGTCACGCGGGTTGACGGCGTGCACGGTGCCGCGGTACTCGCCCTCCTCGGCGACCAGTCGCACCCGGCAGCCGATCAGGCCCGGCTCGAAACAGCCATCCATCGCGGTGTCGCTGTAAGTCTCTCACGGTAAAAACGCACCACAGCACCCTCCGCCAGCACGTGGCGGGTTCACAGCCTAGATCTTCACGGGAGTGGCCGGGTCAAGACGACAATGTAACTAGATTATCTTGGAATGGTTTTAAGGATGGATGATAAATGAGAAGTCTGCACCTGCAGCACTGTCAAATCATGAACAAGCTTCACTTTTCCCACTTCACTATCAAAAAGTCCCTTGGGTGTTCTTCAGCCTCTAGTCACGCTTTCCGTCTTTGGGCTCTCGGAACGCGCGTGCCACGTATACCCCGAGCGTCACGTGCACGGCCACCACGGCGACGATGGTGGAGCACAGGGTGGCCGTGGGGGTCTCCAGGCGCAGCACCAGCTCAAACAGCACGCTCTTGGAGATGAAGAAGGAGGCCACGGGCACCACCAGTATCAGCAGGACATAGTAGAGCACGGTGCTGAAGAGGGCACTCTCCGGCAGCTGAGGGGCAGTCTGGTCCATTGCCCAAGAGACTAGTCCAGGAGCGTCTGGTTCAGGCTGGCTGGCAGACTGTTCAGTCACCTGAAAAAGCAATAAATCATATGAAAAGGGTTCATGTGTAAAACAAAATTAGTTTGGCCGGAAATTGTGTTTTTTAGGACTCCAGAGATACTTGTTCAGCATTTTTCCAGAATATGTGATCATCTGATCATTTCTGCATTATAAAATCTATAAAGTTGTAATGCAAATTTTCAGGTGGTTACTTGATGTTCTTCATCAGATCAAGAAGCCTCGAGGTATGTCATAACCTTCCCTCTGTGCTCTGGTGTGGGAGAAAACTTAAGGAGGCCACCCTTATCTTTTCTTGTGTGTGTATCCAGAAAAACAGGAAATCCAATTCCATGGTGTCACACACCATAAAACTTGGCTTGACTTTACATGTCCATCCCATAGCTTAGCTGGTAGAACATTGGATTCCTGGTGGTGAGAGCCTGGGTAAGGGTTGGACTTTTGAGTCACTACAATGCTTGATATATGAATAACAAATCTCTTGACCGGGATGGTCCACACTCCACAGTTGGTGGGAACAACCAACGCATCAATTTTGCATATGCTCACCAGTCACCAGAGTATTAATTTTGACTTCAGGGACAAGTTTGCCTAAAATCTGGTGACACTTTGTAGGTACCTAACATCATTGGGTATGGGTAGCTACCAGCAGCATCATCAGAGTGACAGCATCATAAGATGGTTATTTTGGCAGATACAATTTCCAGTTAAATCTGAAAACAATGCACCAAAGAGCATATTAAGTCACATAATTGCAAATTAATTATCTCCCTTTCACTGCCTTCCATAGACTTATTGCAACGTGATTTGGGCTAGGAGATTTCAAGGGCCTTGATCAAATTGCCCCAGCCGTCCTGTTTCAGTTTTCAGATTCCACCCAATGTCCAATTATTCTTGCTTACTGGACACAAACCAATAGTGAATATTTTTGCAGCTGAAATTTCTGAGCCAGATGGAGAAGTCACCAAAACTTGCATGACAGCTTCAATAATGAGCTTTTTTCAATAGGTAATGAACTTGTGCTATGGTGTTGATGTTGCTATGGCAACCAAGCTGTTTGGTTAACTTTCATTGGCCCTGTGGTTAAAGTCCAATTATAAGTGTTAAATAGGTCCTAAGGTGTTATGATAGCTTTGTAGGAGATGGTGAAGTGCTGAAAATCATTCTTACATAGATATAAGGTGGCAATTACTTCCTCTCTCTATGCACAGCTAGTATGAGGTTTGGAGGCGATCGTGGCGCGGTAGTGTAACCTTCAATTGGTGATTCTTTTTAATCGTTGGCCATATTGCAAGCTAAGAACTATAAGAACTGAAAAAGAAGAAAGAAATGGATATGAGTGAAAGTAAGGCTGCAGGGGACAGTGGGGGAGATGAACGACAAAAGGAGCATGCTAAAGCTAAGGAATGTGCAGGGTTCACCAGTGATGGCCAGGTATGTGGAAAAGCAGTAGTTGAGGGGGCCATGGGGTCTATACGGTGTGAGATTTGCCTTCGCTGGTTTCACCTTCAGTGTGAGAACCTGAACATTAAGGCAGCAGGAGCCATCAGGGACCTAGAGCTCACTTGGATGTGTGAAAGCTGCAAGAAAAATATCCCAGCATTCCGTGATATGCTTAATGGAGGCAGTAGTGGCAGTGTAGAGTCTGACAAGATAACGGATGGAGTCAAGAAGATAAGTCAACAACTTCTATCACTTGAGAAAAACTTCGAAGTAGTTGTCAAAACAGCAGATTTTGAACAACAACAGTACAAGCTGGAAAGAACCATGGCAGAAGCCATTGAAAAAGTGGAGAAAGCTGTGAAAGAAAACACAGATAAAGTAACTGCTCTCAAGGAACAGATGGTATCAAAAGCAGAGTTAGTGAAGCAGAATACAGAGTTAGTTGACGCTGTAAAGGACACAGTGACAGGAAAGAAACTGGCATATTCAGAGGTATTAAAAAACTCATTGTCAGAGAAGACAGATGAAGTCTCAAATAGGGGGACATGGCCATCTCTTCCTCAGGAGCAAGACATGGTGCAGGTGCAAGAGTGTATGGATAGGGAAAGCCGAAAGTGTAACGTGATCATAAGTAACCTGCCAGAACCAGAAGGGGCTGGACTGATGAACCGAATGGCGGCTGACAAACAAGCAGTTTATGAGATGTTCCGTGACCTCAACATCGAGGTAGACATTGGCAAAGCTGTCCGCCTTGGAGCTAAACCTAGAGATGGCAGGCCCAGGCTTCTTCTCATATCAACCTCGACAGAAGAAACCAAGTGGGATGTGGTTAGGGCAGGTAAGGATCTCCGTGACCTGGAGAAGTATCAAAATGTCTATGTGAACCCAGATTTGACTCGAATGGAGAGACAAACTCAGGGAAGACTCAGAGCTGAAGTGCGAGAAAGAAGAAAGAATGGTGAAAATGTTTATATTTTCAAGGGTCATGTAATGGTGCGGAAAAATGGGCATGATGGAGTTTACAGAGGGGCACCAATGGCAATGACTAAGAGCTTCGGCGGCCCATGGTGTTCATCCGGAGGAGGAAACATCAGCAAGGGTTGATACAAGGAAAAGAATGTTGCCCAATCAGGTGTCTGTGAATCCAGAAGAGAGGTCACAGTCCTCTGCCCAAGATTGACTAGCCGAAACTAATAGGGAGACAAGGGAGGTCATAAAGGTATTCTACACAGATGCAGATGGTCTCATTAATAAGCGGGATGAACTGATTTCGTATGCAGAAGATGAACGACCTAATATTTTACTGGTTAGTGAAGTTATACCAAAGGCACAAAAGCTCCCTATCACACCCCAGTGTCTGGCTATACCCGGGTACCGTAATGCTACTAATTTCGACCCAGAAGATACTAATTTGGGAACTTCTGGCAAGAGGGGTTTGGCGATTTATGTGGACGACAGTTTGAACATCTCACCAGTGCACATTGGAAGTGCATTCAATGAATTCATTGCCATCGAAGTGGCCCTTGCCGGGACGGACAAGCTATTGTTGGTATTGGCTTACAGAAACAGACAAGGCATATCAGATGAGAACTCATGTGTCGAACTGTGTGCTTTGTTTAATGATATAGCTACCAGAAATGTATCCCACCTTATCATTGCAGGAGATTTTAACATAAAAGATATCGATTGGGAGAATAATATTTGTAATTTTGGGCCTCATCATATTGGGCAACGTTTTCTATCCTGCACGCTAGATTGTCTTCTGTATCAGCATGTACTGAAACCCACACGCTTCCGACTCGGTGATACACCTAGCATTCTATATTTGATTTTCTCAAACGAAGAAGCTATGGTACAAAATCTGAATTATCTTGCACCACTGGGCTACAGCGATCACTCCTGCCTTGTCTTCAACGTGCATGTTAGGACTGTTCAGCACTCTCGGCTGCAGAGGCGTCTGGATTTGAACAGAGGAGATTTCCAGGGAATGAGATACATGCTGGAACAGGTAGATTGGGATGGAATTCTACATTCAGAGGAAGTAGACCAGTGCTGGGAAGGAATAAAAACAGAAGTAATGAGAGCAGCAAGTAATTTCATTCCAACAAGACAATGTGGAAAACAAAAACATTTGCTCATGGATAGAGAAACCAAGCAACTGCGCAAGAAAAAGAATAAAGCTTACACAACATATTTAAGATGCAGGGATAGAAATACTTACATGCGATATTCTATACTCAGAAATAACTTCAGGAGAAGAACGAGAAATGTCAGGAGAAAACATGAAACAAAGCTTGCTGAGGAGTTTAAAGAAAAGCCAAAGAAGATGTGGAACTACATAAACTCAAGGTTAAAAACGAAATCATGTGTAGAGGATCTCAAGCATCTCGATGGTACAATGGCAACCACTAATCTAGAGAAGGCCGAACAACTGAGAATGCAGTTTGATTCAGTTTTTACCAAAGAGAATCTGATGGGGATGCCCACATTGGCTGATCGTCAATTTGAACAAGCTATAGAAGACATTGAAGTTGGGACATTTGATGTTTACATAAGATTAAAGGGATTGAATGTATTTAAATCTCCTGGCCCAGACGGTATACATCCAAGGTTATTGTCAGAATGTGCCGGGCAGCTCAGTGAGCCACTTGCAGCTTTGTTCAGGCAATCTTTGGATATGGGCGTGTTGCCCAGTGACTGGAAAAGAGCGAACATTTCGGCTATCTTTAAGAAAGGTAGTCGCAACGATGCAGCAAATTATCGCCCAGTCAGTCTGACGTGCATTGCCTGCAAGGTTATGGAGTCAATGGTTAGAGATGCCATCATGCAACACTTGTTAAGCAACAAGCTTCTCAGTGATCATCAACACGGATTCACCCCAGGACGGTCGTGCTCTACACAGCTCCTCAAGGTCATTGATGAATGGACGGAGATGATGGATAAAGGGAAGTCACTAGATGTTGTATATTTTGACTTTGCAAAAGCGTTTGACTCTGTCCCGCACAGACGGCTGCTTTTAAAGCTGGCTGCGTATGGTATCCGTGGCAAGCTTCTGAGTTGGATCAAGCATTTCTTGATTGATAGGTGGCAAAGAGTTACAGTAATGGGTGAGTCATCTGCCTGGAGTGAGGTTACAAGTGGAGTGCCTCAGGGGAGCGTTCTTGGTCCTCTTTTGTTTTTAGTATATATAAATGATCTTCCGGAGGCAGTGTGCTCAAAGGCCCAAATATTCGCTGATGATACCAAACTTTATCGCACTGTGGACAATGGTGCTGATGCACAAGAATTACAGGATGATATCAACAGTTTATATATTTGGTCTCAACAATGGCAACTACCGTTCAATGATGATAAATGCAAAATGATGCACCTAGGAATAAGGAATGCAGGAAGAGAATACCAGATTAATGGTGCATATATGAGGAATGTTGATTCTGAGAAAGATTTGGGGATAATGGTTGACAAGAAGATGAAATTTCATGTGCATGCATCACAAGCTGTGGCAAAGGGTTTCAGGATGCTGGGAATGATAAAGAGATCTTTTGTAAATTTAAACAAGAAGACCATTCCACTTTTATTCAATTCGATGGTGCGTCCCATTCTTGAGTACGGAAATTGTGTGTGGGGACCAATATATTGCATGGATCAAGACCAAATCGAGCGGGTACTACGTCGGGCTACTAAGCTGGATCCAGCATTGAGGGGCCTACCATATGAAGAACGTCTGCAACAGCTCAATATAGCATCAATGTTCCACAGAAGAAAGCGTGGAGACATGATTATGGTGTTTCAGAGCATCACTGGAAGGATCCCAATACTAGAAGATTGTCTGTTTACAAGAGCAGAAGAAAGACCAGGTAATCGGGGTCACCATCTTAAGCTGAGGAAGCCATATACCACCACTGTGTGCAGACAGAATAGTTTTGCAGTCAGAGTAATAAATGAATGGAACAATCTACCAGAAGCAGTAGTAAGTGCTGATTCTGTGGCTGAGTTTAAGAAAAGGCTAGATCAGCATTGGAATAGCCGAAAGTTTAAAACAAGACATGATTGGAATGATTGAAATTGATATGAGATATGCCAGGAATGAGCAAAACGTACTGTATGTATGTTGTGCACTGTATGTACATTGTAACGTGTTTTGAGCAAAACGTACTGTATGTATGTTGTGCACTGTATGTACATTGTAACGTGTTTTGAGCGGGATCAATAGGCGACAACTAAGCCTTCTCTCCCGAAATATATATTGAGTATTGAGTATTGAGTAACTTGAAGCTGACCACTTTAGAATTACGAACTACCTATTCAGGTATGATTGGCTTAAAGTAATGTTAGGCTAAGTTGAATTAATCCTTATATACCACCTTAACAGCCTTTAAATGTCAATTTAGCACCTAAATTTGCGCTTAAGTAGTTTAAAACTGTAAAATGAGTTGAGGAATACCTTGTGACGCGTCTGTGACATTTGAGGCGCAAAGGAATAGGCATTTTTCAGCCAAAAGTATCCACGAAATAATGCATTCATATGACAAACAGAGGGTATTAACATGATTTAGAGCATTAAATTAACCTTATATTATTATTCACCTCCTTTGGATCCAAAATCGTGACGCAACCGGCAACCAGTTACAAAAATTTCCGTAGGCTTGACGTACGTGCCTCCTGTAACTCTACTAGCTGCCACCAGGCTTCGTTAACTATTTTAATATTTGTTTTCTGAATTTATATTTTCCCCCAAATAAGTTGCTTAACTAATTTTTTAAAAAGATATTAGGTGCTAAATTTATCATTTAAAGGAAAACATTGAACAAAAATAAGTCAGAATATCATAGAATGAAAACGGCCACTAGGGTCGTTCAGGCTATAACCAGCTGAACGCTAATGTTTTGACAGGTGGGTCACGAGGTCCACGAGGTCACGTCGCGCCGGTCGCGCCTCTATGACCGTGGGTAGCGCCGCTGGAGGTCTCAACTCTCATCGCACGAGGTGTCTCGGTCCTCTGTGAGGGGATGGTGTTGCGGGGTATCGTCAAGGTAGCTTGACTTTCCTTGACCTTTGCTTGTCTACCTTCTAAGGTAATCAACTTATAGGGCATTTCAACTCAATATTAGGTACCACACATATGGTAGGAAATAGGAATATCATTACAAGATACAGCCAAATGTCTCAAATATCAATATACTGATACCTGATAGCATTGTCAGAGTGAAAGTGTCATATTAACCCGGTTTACATAGCATATTTGACGAGGCTCTAGCTCGTTAATTTGGCGATAATTTCGTTGCAGTGGTCTTCAAATATTTAGAGGGGATCATTTGGTAAATTGTTAAGCACCATTGGCATCTTTTGCAACATCACGGACGGAGATATAAGCTTGCAACAAACCCTATGTAAACCGGGTTATTGTATGCTGTGCTTGGCTGTGCTGAAGTGTACCTAGTTACATGTTTTTTTCAGGTCAAGGTGAACTGAATCCATCGGAAATGTCAGAATATGCTTCATTCAGCACCCCTTGTCTTAGCTTGGCTGAGGTTGAAGACAAGCTGGAGGAGCTTGATGTCTATCTGACTGAAGTGACTCTGAAGCTTCAGCTAATGAAAGGTAGGACCTGCAGACACTGGACAGGATAGTTGGTGGTAACAATAGGTAAATATTGGGAAATATTTAACGAAAGTTCCTAGAAGGACAATGCAGCCTTAAAATTTATTAAAGGAAATAGTTCACTTTTTAACATGGGTTTTGAACTGGAATAGCAGTTCCGTAGCCTGGGCTGAGACGAGCATAAATCAGGAGCTTTTACAGCCCAACGATCACCCTAGGCAAAGATATTCTATTTCTCGTCCCGAAAAAGGTGTCTTGCGTTGACGATGTGTGCCTTGCATATATTCGCATCCAGTATGAAAAGAGCATGGGTACCGAAAATTCTTCAGAAACTAGAGAAATTATCTACAAGAACTCTAGAGAAATTCTCGTACTGATCATTAAGGACATTCAGCAGCAGCAGATCGCCCAAATGCCGGTGGCCGCGATCATTTCTCTAGTTTCTGAAGAATTTTCGGGACCCATGCTCTTTTCATACTGGATCGCCTGTGCCTTACAGAAACTGAAAAGTTCTTCTTATTATCAAAATATAGAAAATAATCTTTTGTTATAAATAGGTTTTATTTTCTTTGCTGATCATTTTGAACATAAAAAATCATAAATCCATTGCAAAAAAAAAAATAATTTCGTGAAAGTGAACTATTTCCTTTAAGGTTTTAGTAGTTGTTAAGTTGCTTGCAGAATAAAGCAAGGTCCACTTTCCTCATCACCAACAGATCGAGCAGAACTGGAGGACCGCACAGAAGAGCTGCGTCATGAGCTGGCCGAGAGGAGCCACCAGCACCCTGTGCTACCACCTGTACGCCATGACCTGTTCCTGATCCGGGCTGGAGTGGTGGGAAAGTCACCCTCACCTGATGCTACAGACAGCTGGGAACTCCATACATCACTGGCTGATGAGGGGTTCTCACCAGGAGAGTCCACTCAGAAACAGACCTCACAGCCACAGCTACTGCACTCAAGCCCACATGCCCAGAGGGGGAAATCTCACCAGGAAGCCAGTGATGACAGGCGACGGAAACCTGTCTGCGTCTCCAGCACCTGGCGACCCCGGCGTCGTCAGTCCACCAAGACGCGCCTCTGGTCGACGCGCCGTGACCGACGTCGAGACGCGAGGACCGTGCTCGCGACCTCCCGGAGGGGCCTGAAGAAGGGCGCCCGATTCCTTCAGCCACGTCGCTCAGAAAGAGCGTCGCTCTCTGAGCAGGCCGTAGAGAGTTCTGTTAGCCACGTGAGGGAGGTGATCGCGCTAAAGAAGCGCTCGGGTCCGTGGGAGGACAATTTTCATCTGAGAAAAGTTGCAGAAAACGTTGCGGATCGAGGGCGAGGTGGCTGGAAGGACCGTCCTTCCTCCGAAGAGGTGCAAACGCAGGCGGTGTTCGGCTCCACGGCATGGGCGTCGCTCTCAGAAGGCTCTCTGGTTTGGGCCAAACTAGGCACCTCCAAATGGTGGCCAGGTGAGTTTTCGGCAATTCACACTTCTTTAACCCGCGCCCGGCTGGGGGTCCTGGATTTCCACGCCCTGCTGGGGGGGGGGGGGGTGTTTGAACACCCCCCCTTGTAACTCGGCTCCTGGGCCACGTAGCGATACGCAGAAGGCGGCGTTCGAAAGAGCGTAAAAAATAATGACGAAATCACTTCGGTCAATTTTTTGGTCAGGTCAAAGGTCAGGTCACCAGAGGTCATTGAAGGCAAAATTTCGCCGATTTCCAGGTCGAATGTCGAAAATTTCCAAGAAGCCAACGCATAACTCGAGAACCAATAGAGCTACAGCGCCGCGGAAAAGCGCATTCGATAGCCCTATTAAAGCCCTTTCTGAGTAATTCTCTCAGATTTGACCTAACGTCAACGGTTTTGCCTGCAGGGGGCAAAAATTGCAAAAATAGCCGATTTTTTTCGGAAACAGTTTTTCTGCAATAACTTTTGACCCAAGCCTTGTACGAGCTTACTTTTACCGGCATTGTGTTCCTCTCGTCAAGACGCATCGAATGAACTATAAGTTGACCTTGAAAGGTCAACTTGAAAATTTGACCTCAGGTCAAGGTCATGACCTGACCGGAAAGGGTCATGTTGCATATCAGTCGATCCGTATCGTCGAGCTGAACACATCTAAGGCGTTTTCATCGCTCTAGCATGCCTCTATCAAAAGTTATTTGCAAAAAACTGTTAGATACCATTCGTGACCTAAGATGACCTCAGGGCATAAACAAGGGTCACGGACAACATTTTCATGTTCAGTGTGTCTAAAGCACTTGTAATTCGGTGTTTGGGAGTGTTTATAATGTCTTTTGTCCAAAAGAGGCGCATTTCAATTTTCTCCCATTGACTTATAATGGGGAGGTCGCAAAATTGACCTGACCTTAGGTCATCGATATCAAAATTCTGAGATATACATTTTGTACATGCTATTGCTCTTAGCAATCGCTGAAAGTTTCAAAGCGATCGGTCACTCGGTGTAGCTATGACAGACATTGAAACTTTTTATGAGGTGAGGTCACTTCAAGTGACCTGGTGACCTGACCTTGAATGACCTTGGTCTGAAATTTTCACAACATGTGTAGAATTGATGTACGATAAGGTGTACCAAAAACGGCGGCGCTCCGCGCCGCCGTTTTTGAGATATTCGCGAAAAACCACAAGGGGGGGTGTTCAAACACCCCCCCCAGCAGGGCGCGGGTTAATCAAAGTATAGACTACTGAATGCCTATTGCCTATTTGAAGTGGTCTGTAGTGTTCGTTGTTTGAATGGATGAGTGGCTGCCTGGGCGAGGACCGGTTGTCACACCATGGACTAAGCCTGGGCTTGTTGTAAATGACATGGGCCTGCTAACCTTGCAGCTGCTTGCGTCCGTTTCAACGGTGCAGTAGTCTATGACGGAGCTTATCTTACCGTATGTGGATGGTGAGCGTTGGCACGGTCCTCCGGACCTGTGTTGCTCCTCTCGCTAGGTGTCAACTTAGGGGTAGCATGACAAACATCAGATTTATTCAAACCTGGCAGAAGGAGTGTAAACTATATGACAATCAGCGTCCCCGTCATATGATTGTGCGTGTAGGTACGTATGCAATATTTGCTCTTCCCATTCATTTATCGTACCATGATGGAAGGGGACGTGCCTTGTTACGCCTCATCAATTTTTTTTTTCTCGCAAAATCTGTTCTTAGCGCACCTCCTTACTCGCATGGTTTCTTTGCACGCGACAATTTCCGTACGAAGTCCTGTAAAGGTCAGGTCGCTTCTATAAACCGAAAAGCTAAGGCTGGGGCTTTCTGTAGAATGTGACAATAATAATTCCATCCTTTTTGTATCGGGGCATTCCGTCGCGAAAGCGACAATCCATCCAGTCGTTCTCTATAGCAAAACCGTCCGTAGCGCTCGGCCCGTGGGTGGACAGTTATTGTGTCCGGCCCATAGCGGACGGTTACAAGAGGCGCCTGAAAGCCAGCCGGTGCTCGCCGGCTAATGGCGCGATCGCAGCTATTACTTTAGACGGCTGTCCTCACAGACATCGTAATGGGGGTCGCGTCCCGGTGCCGGGGGTCGACCCAGTGGGCTGAAGGTCACCCAGCGCTTTCCACACTGATTGAAAGGTGATTGGGGAGGGTCCATGGGAGGGTGTTGGGGGATGAGTGATATCGGACAATGAATGAGTAGAGGAGGTCTTACTAGGTACGGGATTTGCAGCCGATTGTTTAGCATATTTACACGACAGAACGGTCAGGCTTTGATGTCTTACTTCACCTTGCGATCACAACAATTCTGAATATCCAGTCGGCAAGCCGTTTCCACGTTCCCAACTGACTGGTAACCCTTTGCCCTGCTCCCGACTGACAGGTATGCTGGTGCGCGGTGAGCGCGGCGGGATGACCGGAGCCCACCAACAGCCGTGGGTGTTTTGGTTCGGTGACCATCGCATCTCCGAGGTAGGTCCCACTGGGGAATGTACCGCGGCTGCTGGGCATGGGCAGACGCACAGCGCGTTATGTAAGCACTGGCTACACGGCGAGCGTTTTACGCTTTTATTATATCACTTGTTTGCTAATTGTTATAACTCTGGAGTGTTCGATTGATTTGCAAGTTTGTCTATACGGCCGTGTTATTTGCAGATAACTTTTTCTTTGAAACATGTGCTAAGAGAAACAGACATACATAGGCCGATAACGTGGCCACTTTTTTGTAACAAAAATATGCGTCGCAATACACGTAAAACGATAGATTATATTACGCAGCGAGAGCGCACTAGACAGTAACGAACCATAAGACCAGATTAATACTAACTAATGTCTTGTTTATCGTAAGAAGCGTGGACTCAATCGCATTGATTCTGGAAGCATAACAAGGAACAGAACCAAAATCATATGCCTGAAGTGCAGACCTGCCGCCGTATAGCCAATCGCTTATAGGTATGCCTGCATGGTCAAATAGCATTGATGTTGGGACGCCAACATACCGAATGGCATGCTGGTCTTGTCATGCTACCTATTTCCCTGGTTAATTGGTGCAGGGTAGCTCATTTTCTTACAGCTCGGGTAATTATTAAGAAAATAGCATGCTCGTGGTTGTGACACATGCAATTATGCTTGTGTAGGTGGATGAACAATTTGTGTTCATTTATCAGAACTTGTTAAATACATAGGTATACTCAGGTGAAAAACAGGCAAGATGCTGCTTTTTCTGAGCGAGTCAACAGCAATGATATTGTCTGATCTGCAGATGCCAGAGACGGAATCGATGACGGTTGGTCAGATCAGGATTGATCAGAGGCCAGGCTAGTGATAAGTCAGGGGTGATCAGAGTCATGCCTCTGGTCTGATTTCATGGTCAGAGCCAGAGGCGGGGTAACTGATGAGTCGGGGACTGGTCAGTCTGGTCTGGACTGGTCAGAGGCCGGAGAACTGATTTGTCGGTCTGGTCAGAGTCGGGTCTGGCGACTCGATTCATGGTCACAGACGGAGGTGATGATTAGAGGCTGTGCAGTGCGGAGGGCGATGGAGACGGGTAAATACGAGTATGTCTGGTCACCGTGACCTTTGGTCGTCATATCGGTCTGATTATGTAAGAGAAAACCTTTTGTGGAAGTTAACATGTAAGGAAAGTTGCCAAAAGTGGGCCTAAGTCAATGAATGCAAACTTAGACAGTGCCACGAACTGGTCTGATCAGCTTTGTTAGCGTGACCTATTCACTCAAAGGTGAACGCTGGTATTTGACTCAAGCTGAGGTATTTTTGGAAAAAAATAACGTCTCAACGCCGCCTTCTTAGTTCAGCTATGCTTATATTTATGTAAAAATTTTCTTGCCAAATCCCTGACTATATTCGGTGGGTTTCGGTTTGATTGGGAGGGTCGATACCTGGTAATTGCGTGGAGATCGCTAGGCACTGTTAGAGACCAAGGAGTCGAATTTCTTGTTCGCCAAGTTTCAAAGAATCCAGCAATAGCCGTTATTGAAGACATCCTGACTCGGGAAACCTGCTTTGATTCCTGTGAGGTCGAGTATTGTTCACCATAACACTTCAATATTCGGCAGACACGGTCGATATTAATGCCTACTACTACGATATTATTCTACTCTGAATTCTACTCTGAGATTGCAATCCTGACGATATTGAGCTGGGGGAATCCTGATAGCCAAATCTGGCGATGCTGCTCCATCGATTTGTCGGGCAATGTTGTACCAATAACAATGAAGTCTGGAACAGTTATGTACGGGCTTTCACTTCTACGGCCAAGTATACCATGGTTTATATTCTTATCTTCCGAGTTATGGAAGCCGTTTTGTTGACTTGCTATTCAATATCAATAAGCGTCGCCAACAGAAAAGGAACGATGTTGCTGTAAAGTCTGGCGATAAAACACTTTGTTTACATAGATACCTACTCCGTGTCCGTTATTCTGGCTGTTTATTAACTTATCAAAAGACATCTAAGGAAAATAGTCAAAAGACAGGTGCTCATTGGCTCGTTACTGTCCCACGCCCTCCCAGTGTCTACATATGCCTGACGCCCCCTTGGGTTCGCCGGGACGCTGCGGGCCGTATTCCCATTCAATGGAAACTCGTCTGGTTTATCAGACCGAAGAGTAGGACCTCGCCAACGCATTGTCGGCGGCGCAAACCACTAACTTTGGGAAGGAGAGTGGGATGATGACGGATGGCGGATGGTGGGCGGGCTGCGGGGGCGTCCGCAGGTCACCAGAGGAGAGGGAAGGTGGGACGGGATGAAGCCCAGGGATGGGGGGGGGGGGTGGATGCCTATTTTGGGACGTTGGTTGATGTGGGTGGTGGACACTGACCAGTATTTGGGGCCGTTAGACCTGCTGCGAGGGTGTAAGCCTCTCAAATGCGTTATATTCCGGGGAGAGCTGTTCATTCCGATATTTTCCCGTCATATCGAAAAGACTTGCGTTGCGCGCGTTCGTAATTATGTTACACAATGAAGTTAAATGTTATGCATAGGCGATAATGAATTGCTCTTTGCCAATGAGAGAATGGCCCATCCACACATATGTACATCACATTAACCTTCTCGCCGCACGGGATGAGTCCAGTCGGAGCGATCGATACTCATTCCTGATGGGTGCATTGGTCGGGCAACCATTCTATCTACCGAGGGAACGTTTGCCCGAGTTGGACCACAAAATGCGAGAAGTTTTGAAGCAGATGGAACACAGGAGCCGGTGAGGAGAGATTGGATGGTTTTGAGCGTCTTATCTGATTGGCTCGTCAGCATCAATGACTTTTAATCTTCATGAAACCCATTTCCATGGGCATTTTTGATCCATGTCAGGATATGGATGAAGAAGCTCAACAGTTTTTTCAACAGTGAACAGTTTTTTTTTTTTGAAGAGGGGATGGTTAAGTCGTTAAGCGTAGTTATGCCGTGCGCTGTATATTATGCTATCTAAGCATGGTGGGTGATTTTGTATTATATTTGATACTAGTTCATCATGCGACCGAGTGACGTTTGCATCGATTGTTGCGAGTTTGCATGTTTGGTGCTCATTGTGTGTTTCGTGCAAATACCAATCACCTGTTGACAGCTTCCCATTGTTATATTAATGACTTACGACAATAACAGCTTCTACTACCTTTACCTATTGTTGATGACCTCAATAAACCAACAGCCCACGCATGAGTGACTCTGAGCCACCCAAAGTTTCTGAGGTGTTGCCAAGCGTTTACCTATGGGTACTATTGAGTACTAATTTCGGCAAGGTAAGCCGCCCAGATGCGCTCACAACACAGCACTGCCCGATCTGAACGGGTCAATTGTCCGTGTTAATGAGTGGTGGGTGGAGACTCCCCGTAGTAACAGGAGATCCGGCGGCGTCCGACCGATACCGCTACAGAATATGGAGCCCTCTCGTCGCACTATGAAGAGCACGCCTCTGAGAATGTGTGGGTCTCAGATGAGTCCGCAACCGTGCCGTGCGGAGCCGCTTCAGCTGTCTCAGGGGGACTGAGCCACCTGACCATCTGAGGTCAGAGTCTGCTAATGATGCCTACATAATCCTGCTGAAAACACTCCCAAAGTTCTAACAGTACCTTTGAAGTGCTGCCTACGCCTCATTCTTGATGCTCAATGATTGAAGGAATGCTTCACAATCGACTTCCCCTAAAGGATTTTCGAAATTCTAAAATTGAATGTAACGTGAATTCGTCATTGTTTGAATCTTTACGACTATGAATGGCTCTTCGTATGAGTTATGACAATTGACAAACAATCATTGAACAGCGCATGCGTATGGACAGTAGCGTAGCGTAGTCTGTATCAACCAACTTCATCGGCATCTGAGAGTTCTAAAGTCTATGCTAACGTCTGGGATTCGATTTTGACTTACAAGACCTAACATTCAAGCAAGTGTTGGGGTCGGTAACCATGGTACTTGGAATGCCTACGAACCTGATTCAACCAACCTATCTTTCATCCGACTTTTTTGCTTTTATCAAACTATTTAGGTGAAGCTTGGGCCCTTTTTTGGTATTCGTTCACAATTCAATGTGCACTTAAATTAAAGTCATCAGAATTGAACATGATAAAGGCAAAATACCTAGCCTAGGCTCGATAACGTATAAATAAACTTTAATGCTGAGATAAGGATAGGCATGGTGATTGCTAAGGAACGCTGATAGGAGGGCGCCGATTCAGCTCATTATACAGAATATACAGTGCATTTAGGCACTAACTTGGAACCACAGCTTGAGTGACTGAACTCCGATGTGGATAACCGCATCATCTCTTGTAGGGGAGAGTGGGGAAAGATGCCCAGGGTTTTGCTATGTCATATATTATTCGAAAATGACGATGGTAAAGCAAAAACTTGGAGTGTCAACGGAATCCGACATCATTTTTCTCCAAAAATATCACACTTTCGTGCCTGAAATATTATAACTTTTTTTTTTGCTATTAAGCATTTTCCTGAAGAAGTGAAAGGGGGCATCTTACCCCACAGGGTGGGAAAGACGCCCCCTGACGTTGGGAAAGATGCCCCCTGCACTATAAGTGACATAAATGGGCACGTGAATCGCCTGAACGAATCAGTAGTCCCTTCGAGCCTGCAGTAGACACCAAACGTCATCATAAGGGCCCTCAAAAATAGTCGTAAGGGGCTTCAGAGGTCATCGTTAGGGCCATCATAGTCCAGCGCGGCCAAACAAGCCTCCGTGGTGGCGTTCGGAGACCACTGTGGGGCTCTTATAGGTCTTCATGATGCTTGAGGGCCCTCGAGCCCATCGTGGGGACCTCCGATGCCAGCGCGGCCCGTAGGGCCAACGTGGGAGCCCTCAAAGGATGTCGTGAGGGGCCCTGGAGCCAATAATGGGGCCCACAGAGGCCGTCGTTAGGGCTCTCAGAGTCAGATGCCGCCCAAAAAGTCGCTATGTGGGCCGAGAGACCGACATGGGGAGCACCCGACCGTACTGGACTCGCAATAGTCCCAGATCGGCTTTTGTCTATGTACATCACAAGTATGTAATAAATGATTTGACGGGCTGTTTGAAGGACAGCCTACGGATTTAGGGGGGCGTCTTTCCCCATCAGGACAAGGGGCATCTTACCCCAAGGTACCGAAGTAACATTAAATCAGTACAATTTGTTAGCCATAAAACTACACCCTGAAACAAACTGTTTGGTACACAGTACACGCATGCTAATGTATCACGACTATAGCAAGGGACGCAAAAATTATTTACCTTCTTTGATATTTACAATGTTCTCACACCAAAATATTTTTCGAAAGCAGCAAATAAAAAACATGCAATCATCAGCCAGCCGTTGCCCAAATGAGCTTCGCAATTTTTTGTGCAGTTAACAAGGGAGGCTTCCGCTTTACGCTAAGAACATTAATTTCCAGGTCCGATTCTTTGTTTCGCCGCTAGAGGGGGTGGGGTGTCTTTCCCACCCTGGGCATCTTTCCCCACTCTCCCCTATATTTCGGGACCGTTGCTGGCCATTCCGCCGCTGCGGTGGCGGCTCAGTTCATTGTGCTCATCATTCGGCCTCGACAGTCTGACGAATATAAACCCTCGAAGCGTTGCCGTTTTATGGGATTCCGGCTGAAGATATACCCAGATGACCCCGGGGACAGATACGGGTCCTAATGGCTCAGCGCTGAAGGGCGTCGGTAGCTGAGGGAGCGGGAGTCGGCTGGAGACGGTCAGTCGGACGGCTCCCAAAGGCAGAGGCGGTCTGATTACGACCATAACTGGCTGATACGCGGTATGTGGGTGGATGACGCCGGCTTTTAAACGCACGAAAAACACGGCTTATGCATCGACCGTTTGATTGGTATCTATCTAATTTATCATTAGATAGTATTGATAACACTTTCAAGTTCCGCGCTTTGGCGGTGGAGGGGGCTGGGGTAGATTTTACGTCCGTTCCCCCTTATTTCTCCAATGGTGTAATACGACGAATAATGACAGTGCTTGAGTCATATTTAAGCCATACCTGAAGTCAGGTATGGCTTAAGATAAAATTTTGAATTTTATTTACTATATAGGCAATAGGCATTCATATATTATTTTCTAGTTGGTAGGGGCTCCGAGAAAGCTTTAGATATTTTTCATACATTGTCATTTTCGGTTTTAAATATGCGGAAGAGATGCAGGGAATGCTGCGTAATACAAGTACCATTCTACACTGCACTCTTCATCAGCGCACACGGCGGTGCATTCGAGTCTATCTCGTTTCTGAGGTCCGTCGGGCCAGAGGGCTACTCCGGGACATGAAGTAGGAACGTACTGTCGTGTTATCACGTGCGGGGCAGTGTGAGGCACACCGTTAACCCCTGCGACCGAGCCAGGTAGCACTTCCCCAGTTAGGTACTGCCAGCCCGTGGGAATGAGCTGAAAAAGGTCACCGAAGGTCAGCTTGGTCGAGAGACCCTCTCTTGGGCTATTTAGTGAATGAAACGTGATCTCTCGCACTCACTTTGCATTAATTTTGCCGCAATCAATGCCTTTACCCATGGCTGAATTATGGCGTTTCTACTTTTTTCAGCAATCTCTCATCTCTGTGCCTATTCCTGTATAAAATTTGTGGTGATTAGATCTTTTTTTATTGAGGCACATCCATATGCGAAATGATTGACATTGTCGGAAATCAATATCTACGGGAATCATATATAGGTATTTTTGCCTGACAACTTTTGACTTATTTTTTGTCAACTGACAAGTTTTCAACCTGACAGCTTATTTTTTCTACACTTTTAGGCGTGCCCCGACCTCCGACAGCCGCCCTGACCCTGACCCGGTGTTTCGTTTCAGGTTCCCCGTGACAGGGTGACTGAGTTCTCTGCCGGATTTGAGTCCCTCGTGCAGCCTGATTACGCCAACAAAACCTACCAGCTGGGCCTAGTGGAGGCGCTCAGGGTGAGTGTGACGTCATAGTCAGGGTGGTGGCGCTCAGGTGAGTGTGACGTCATATTCAGAACGCTCAGGGTGAGTGTGATGTCATAATATGGAGGCGCTCAGGGTCAATGTGACGTCATAGTCAGAACGCTCAGGGTAAGCGTGATGTCAAAGTTAAGGTGCATGGTGGAGGCGCTCAGGGTGAGTGTGACGTCATAGTTAGGGCGCTCAAGGCGAGTGTGACGTCACGTAGTTGGCCTGGTGATGTCTTTCTGGGTAGCGTCTCGCTCACTCGTATGAGTTGTGGCTCTCCAAACACTATACAATACAATTTGTAACCCTTTCTCCTTTTTGGCTTACGTATCCTCATGCTCGCCATTATTGGTGACACGCCGTTTGTCTCTCAGGAGTGTCGCCGCCAGCTGGGCCTTGACCCAATGACCGGGTCACTGCACCAGGTCATCAACTGGGGCAGGTCGGCCGTCACCCGGGGCATGACCTTTCGAGGTATGTTCAAGCGACCGGTCACTTAGTTGATGTGTTTTAACCCTCGCCCGTATTGGTGTTTTTCCAGCCGCGAACGTATAAGGGGGGGGGGTCCCCCTTGCCGTTTCGTCCCTGATCGAGCTAGAGCTTCGCGGAAAAAAACGAGCGTGTTGCCCGTGACGAGAGGAAGCCGATGATACCCAATGTTAAGGTCCTAGGTCATCGGTTGACCTTCCAGGTCAGGTCAATGACCCAAAAGTCGGGAAAATCGGGACCTGTTAGAAAGTCGTAAAGCGTGGCTGCTATGGGGTTTTTCGGGGTGCTGATCACGAATATCATGTTAGTTTTGATCGCAGATGATGTCTTCATGCATTTAGGCCAGGTCGGGTCAGGTCAGGTCAGGTCAATCAGTAAGGGTATTCGTAGTAGGTGGCAACCGCCTCTGACAGCTTCGTAACATGTTACGAAGGTGCCAAAACTACTTCGTAAATGTTCATATGGTTGCTAAATTCGAATTCAGCTCCAAAAACTGGCCTAAAAACATGAAAAACTCGAAAAAGTGAACCGAGGTCATCAAAGGTCAATGACCTGACCTGACCTTCCGGTGACCTTGACACCCACCCTTATGCATGGGAGCAACATCATATCCCATGTTTGAACGCTTAAAACTACGAAAAGACTGCAAACGCGCGGCTAATGCGAGCCGACATACGCCGAATCGCGATTCCGGCCAAACATGGTCTCGAAAAGTAGGTCACAGGTCAAACGTCATTAAGGTCAGGGTCATGGAAATTTAAGGGTAGGTGTAAAATTGATTAACGCGAGGGTACTGAAAGTTTCGTCGCGATCGGCCGCTTTTTACGCGAGTTATTCGCGAAAAACCGAGGGGGGGGGGTCCGTTCGACCCCCCCCCCTATACGGGCGAGGGTTAACCCGCGCCCTGCTGGGGGGGGGGGTGTGTGTGTGTGTTTGAACACCCCCCTTGTGGTTTTTCGCGAATATCTCAAAAACGGCGGCGCGGAGCGCCGCCGTTTTTGGTACACCGTATTATCCATCAATTCTACACATGTTGTGAAAATTTCAGGCCAAGGTCATTCAAGGTCAGGTCACCAGGTCACTTGAAGTGACCTCACCTCATAAAAACTTTCAATGTCTGTCATAGCTACACCGAGTGACCGACCGCTTTGAAACTTTCAGCGATTGATAAGAGCAATAGCATGTACAAAATGTACATATCAGATTTTTGATATCGGTCAATGGGAGAAAATTGAAATGCGCCTCTTTTGGACGAAAGACATTATAAACACTCCCAAACACCGAATTACAAGTGGTTTAGACACACTGAACATGAAAATGGTGTCCGTGACCCTTGTTTATGCCCTGAGGTCATCTTAGGTCACGAATGGTATCTAACAGTTTTTCGCAAATAACTTTTGATAGAGGCATGCTAGAACGATGAAAACGCCTTATATGTGTTCAGCTCGACGATACGGATCGACTGATATGCAACATGACCCTTTCCGGTCAGGTCATGACCTTGACCTGAGGTCAAATTTTCAAGTTGACCTTTCAAGGTCAAGTTATAGTTCCTTCGATGTGTCTTGACGAGAGGAACACGATGCCGGTGAAAGTAAGCTCGTACAAGGCTTGGGTCAAAAGTTATTGCAGAAAAACTGTTTCCGAAAAAAATCTGCTATTTTTGCAGTTTTTGCCCTCTGCAGGCAAAACCGTTGACGTTAGGTCAAATCTTAGAGAATTATTCAGAAAGGGCGTTAATAGGGCTATCGAATGCGCTTTTCCGCGGTGCTGTAGCTCTATTTGTTCCCGAGTTATGCGTTGGTTTTTGGAAATTTTCGACATTCGACCTGGAAATCGGCGAAATTTTGCCTTCAATGACCTCTGGTGACCTGACCTTTGACCTGACAAAAAATTGGCCGAAGTGATTTCGTCATTATTTTTGACACTCTTTCGAACGCCGCCTTCCGCGTATCGCTACGTGGCTCAGGAGCCGAGTTACAAGGGGGGGGGGTGTTCAAACACCACCCCCCCCCCAGCAGGGCGTGGAAATCCAGGACCCCCAGCCGGGCGCGGGTTAAGAAGTAAGAAGATACTTGCTTAATTTCGTTGATTTTGATTGACCGTGATTGAGGTGTACTTTGTTTGATAAAGATATTCTTTATCACGCGCACCGACGGGGGGCGGATATCCGCCCCCCCCCCCCCAGAGGTTTTTCGCGAATAGCGGGAAAACCGCGGCGCTACGCGCCGCGAAATTTGGTACGACTATTTTCTCATCAATTTTACACATGGTGTGCAAGTTTGAACCTCCTAACTTTTTAGGTCAGGTCACCAGGTTACTTCAAACCCAACCTCAAGTCACTTTTTTGCAACTTTGTCACCGTGCCAGAGCTACAGTTGATGTCGGAGGCCTTTGAAAGTCGCAAGATGTTATGAGGTCATTAGTAGCTATAATTTGTATATCTCGGAATTTTGATGTCGGTGACCTAAGGTCAGGTCAATTTCGCGACCTCCCCATTATAAGTCAATGGGGGAAAAATCAACTCCCTGTTTTTACCACTAAAACGGGTCGGAATGGCCCCATATACCATACATGACTTCATATACGATCAACCTTCACTACCTTGCGGTCTGTTTTGCTGTTGGGCAGCTGTAAGGTCATGTGACGTCATCAAAGGTCACCAGCGGTTTTTTGCCAATAACTCCGTACAGGAACAAGATACAGCCGCGCGGATGGTCTCATGGTGTTCAGCTCGTCAAGACGCATCGAATGATATATATATAATGACCTCGAGGTCACGTGACCTGAGGTCAACCTTTGACCTTGACCTTTCGAGGTCAACCTTTGACCTTGACCTTTCGAGGTCAACATATATATCATTCGATGCGGATTGACGAGAGGATCACGATGGTGCCCTTAGTTTGTTCCTATCTTGACTAGTTCGAAAGTTATTCGAGAAAAACTCTCCCCATATCTAGCGCCGCCATTTTGACTTTTTTGACCCCTGTGACGTCATCTTTGACCTGACCTGAAAATGACCTTAGTAAAAATTGTAGACCTTGTCCGTGCGTATCCGATGTCGTTTACCGCTTGTCGCTATCTTGCTTTGTTCTCGAGATCTCAGGGGGGGGGGGCGGTCATCCGCCCCCCCCCCCCCCGTCGGTACGAAGTTGGCGAAGACACCCGTCGGTGCGCGGGCTATAACTAATATTGATATGCTACAGGATTCACTCTCTCATTATTATGTCATAATGACGGCGCTGACCTTTTCGAACTATTTTGCTGTTCAAATGCTGGTTGTTATGTTTTTTGCCTTTTGTAACAGATGTGAGCGTGCCTGCGTTTGTGCTCTCGTACCTGGAGAAAATCCGTAAGAGTCAGCGCCGGGATGGAGGTTCTGCTAGCGAGGGGAAGCCGGGGCCGACCGAGTACCGGGTGCCACCGAGACCCGACGATCAGAGAGGTGAGGGAGGGAGCCGGACAGTTAGGGAAGAGATGAAAAAAGAACCGGCCGGTTAGGGAAGAGACGAGCGGGACAGCCGGCCAGTTGATTCGTCCGAGCACATTAAATAATGTCACGGCCTCAAGTCAATAATTCATGTAATGTGCTTATTTGATGTAAGAAAAATATCTTCCTTCGGTTAAAAATGTCACGTCCTTTTTGTTCCCTGTCTGGGTAAAAACTGCGTTGTCCGTGACTGACGCAAGACAGTGGCTGAGCTCGGTGCTTCTGGAGTGGCCTGTCCGTCTGTATGTCTGTCTATCTCCCCTGCTGACAGAACTGCGCTGTCCGTGACCCACACAGCTAAGTCTGCCTGCCCGTCTCTATCCTGCTGTTTATGTGTCTGTCTGTCCTGCTGACAGCGCTGCGTTTCCCACAGCTCAGTGGCCGCGTTCTGTACCTCTCTAGTCGGTCTGTGTATCTGTCTGTATGCCTGCCTGCCTGTCTGCCTCTCGTAACTGAGGTGTCTTCCCACAGCTCAGTGGCCTCGCCCTGTGTCTCTGGAGTCGGTCTGTGTATCTGTCTGTATGCCTGTCTGTCTGTTTGCCTCTCGTAACTGAGGTGTCTTCCCACAGCTCAGTGGCCTCGCCCTGTGTCTCTGGAGTCGGTCTGTGTATCTGTCTGTATGCCTGTCTGTCTGTCTGCCTCTCGTAACTGAGGTGTCTTTCCCACAGCTCAGTGGCCACGCCCTGTGTCTCTGGACTCGGTCTGTGTATCTGTCTGTATGCCTGTCTGTCTGTCTGCCTCTCGTAACTGAGGTGTCTTTCCCACAGCTCAGTGGCCTCGCGCTGGATCTCTGGAGTCGGTCTGCCTATCTGTCTGTATGCCTGTCTGTCTGTCTGTCTGTTTGCCTCTCGTAACTGAGGTGTCTTTCCCACAGCTCAGTGGCCACGCTCTGTGTCTCTGGACTCGGTCTGTGTATCTGTCTGTATGCCTGTCTGTCTGTCTGCCTCTCGTAACTGAGGTGTCTTTCCCACAGCTCAGTGGCCTCGCGCTGGATCTCTGGAGTCGGTCTGCCTATCTGTCTGTATGCCTGTCTGTCTGCCTGTCTGTTTGCCTCTCATAACTGAGGTGTCTTTCCCACAGCTCAGTGGCCACGCTCTGTATCTCTGGAGTCGGTCTGCCTCTCTTGTGGTTCGAACCAGGTGGTGAGGGGACACCCGCTCTTCATCGGCGGGCTATGCTCCACCTGCGAACAGGCAGTCACGGACACAATGTTCGCTTTGGCAGAGGACAATATCAGTGTGAGTTGCGATCGAAGAGAGAGAGAGAGAGAGAGAGAGAGAGAGAGAGAGAGAGAGAGAGAGAGAGAGAGAGAGAGAGAGAGAGAGAGAGAGAGAGCGAGAGAGCGAGCGAGAGAGCGAGAGAGCGAGAGAGAGCGAGAGAGAGGGAGGGAGGGAGAGGGAGCGCGGAAGGGGGGGGGGGCAGTTGCTGTTACCTAGTGCAACAGTACCCGTAGCAGCCGACACCTCTCCACCCAATGTCGGTTCCTGCGACAGTGCCGACATTTAGTTACCAACCACTGGTTTATAGCTTCAATATTCATTTCCCAGGTGTGTCCACGTACTATTGTTTCAGTGTCTCTGTCGCGCTCGACCATTTTGCAACGCAGTGCACTCTAGTTCGATGTGTTTTAGTTTGAATGTCTATAATGGCCATTTTCTGTGCGATGCACCCCAGTTGCACGGCGATTCGGTTGAAATCACGGTTTTCACTCTATTGCATCATTTTAACCGAGATACACTTTCGCCAACCAAGTGTGGCCATGGCTGCTGACCAATGCGTTCATCGTGTTACTTTAGCGAGACGATGCGAGACGGCTGATGAAACATACCCGTTTTGCAAACAACCTCTTCCATAAATGTGGTGGACAATCATTGTCCTGAAAAAGCACGTTTCGCATCATCGGTAATCCTATACAGTTTGGGTATTTTCTTTGACTAAACTTCATCTTTTCGCGGTCAAAATTCAGTTTGTGAACTATTTGCTTTTTAAGGACTTCGCCACTGTCGTGTCACGCATTCATAATTCTACCATCTGCGACGGCTGCTGACATAAATTTCGTTTTGTGCTGAAAGGTCTGTGCTTTTTGAAAAGAAAGAGCGACGGAAAAGAGGGGATATAGCGGAAAGGATATCACAACACGAATATTTACGCCCTGGACGTCGCACAGAGAACTCATCCTGTCACTCCCGATCCTTAATTGGAACTTAACTGAATTTATAGGTGTTTTTCGCCTGTGACACTTGTTAGCACCGTCTCAAGGCGCCCAGCCTTGCTGCGCTTTTTACGGCCTTGTTTTTTCGTGGGTGTTCTGTTATTACGGTCCCACCACGTGGAAATGAGGAGTCTGGGGGTCACTGAAAATCGAAGTGATGTCTCGGATCGTTTTGACAAAGCTGAAAATCGATAGATGGGAATACTATGTGCGATTTTAAATTTTTTGCCTGCCAATGTGCGAAATGAGGGCCGTATAGTATGTTTAATATAAATATGTATATACTTTCAAATAACCAACGGTGTGCAGTTTCAAACCTATCTATTTTTCTGTTTGCGTCTTTTGATAGCTGAACTGCGTAATGAATACTTACATAAGCTAACCGATACCTTAGCCGACACGATAAATGCGCTGCACATTTGCATTGTTTACCGCGAAGAGATAATGCTCAACAATGACAGGCTGTCTTAGATCCGAAATGGTGATTGATTTTCGGTCACTCACCGGCTCAATATCAATATCAATCCAAGAATCTGCACAATGATTCACAGATAGGGACACAAAAGCTGGAGTTGGTTTGACACTATGGTATTTTCAATCCATTTCCTGATGACGAAAATCAGTCGTGGATGCGAATTTAGTTGATGTATGCGCAAGTAAGTGAATGAAGTGTTATTGGAATGCTCACTTAGGGAATTGGGCATGCACTTTTGACCACCATTGAAGCCCGTTTGTGGAACAACAAGTTAGAATGGACTATGTACATCAACCTTTTATGTGAAAAGGAGAAGGAACCTTTCAATACACGAAATATCGTGCTTTTCAAGTAAGAAGAGGCTCATTTTATTTGACAATTAAATTCGCACTCGTAATTTCGAGTTCATGAGTCGTAACACTGTTATCGCTAAATGAACAGATTAGAAGTACACTCCATTTGGAGCAAATGTAATAGTTCCGAAGTTAAGACACTGTTGGGCCGTATTTTAGAAGTAAAGAGTACAGATCATTAGTGTGTTTGAACTTTTTCGCTGCGTCACGTCCAATCAGATTGGGTTGACCCTCACTGAGAGAGGTGAAGGGCGTTCACCCAGTATTTTTCACCGGTACCATTTTGAATAATTAGACTGCAAATGAAGGTGGTGTATTTGAAGACACCAGATCACTGACCCAGCCAAAATATAGAACATTGGATCACATGTTACCTTGCCCCATAGCCAACCTATGATGATGTGTCCGAGGACGTGTTATACCGTCCTATTGAACTGCAGTTTAGATCAATGCTTATCATTTATCTGTATTTTCTCAGCTGTAACTATGATAAATTTCCCGGTCAAACTAACAATGCTTTGGTGATAAATGCGCATGAGATAAATGTTAAAGCCGTTGTTAGTTCTATAAACTTATGTAACATGAATAGCCATTGCCTTAACGATGAGCGGTTATGCGCCATACCTGTAGTTACCGAGAAACCTATACCCAGACAATCAATTGCCGTCTATTGTGTCTTTACGTTGGATATTTCCAGATCTGATGATCTCCGACATACCCCTTGGGCTGTGCGTCGTTCTTATCTCCGACGTCTTGACGTCGAGTGCGTATTCGGTTGCATGTGCGTCACACAAGGACCGACTCAGGTGTCATTACAGGCACGGCCCCGCTCGCTGATCTACCCATAGTTAGGCTCGGGCATAGACCGCTGGGGTCTCAATCAGGCTGATACTGTCTGTTGGGGGTGTATGGACGGGGTGCCGCAGACGGTTGGTCGTCATTAGTTGCGATTTATCGGTAACGAAGCGGCGTCGCCAGCCGGCTGGTCGGTGTGACAGACCTTGGCTCTCAGCTCAGTCATTACCTCCTTCCTACTCAGTAGTGTGGGTAGCCAGTCCGTCTGAGGCCTCAGCTCTGTGCCTCCCCGGATTTACGTAAGGGCAGATAGTGACGACGGCCGGCCACATTACACTGGCCGTAATGAGGGATCGATGGTGACGGCGAGGGGGATACGCGACGATTGGTAACGGTGACTCGCGGCACCTGAAATGGACGGCGTACGCCTAACCCTTAAAATGATACAGGCGGGTTATTTATGCATAAAACCATACCATTGATAACGCCGAAAGTGATATTGTTTCAAATGCAGCGTCCGAACCATATTACCTACCAATCGCTGCACATTGTTTGATTTGGTTCGTTCGACACCTATTTTGAGGCACCTATTTAGAATGAGCTAAATGATCATGCTTGTGCGGTCTATTACAGCCCTATTGTTTAATCTGTTACAGCCCTACTGTGTGGTCTGCTGCCAGCTAGGTCAGCTGCTTATTTGTGATGAAGCCGCGTGCAGCAGGTATGTCTCAAAAAGACGCTCTGTGGCTAACTGCCACATCGCTAGTGAACACCACCAACCGCGCTTCCTTGAACTGATTAAAGGGACCCTCCCACCTTAACATTAGTTTTGAGTTGAGATAGCCAAGTTTGCGGCCAGGCTCAGAAACCACCATTTATCCTGGTCGCAGCCCCCGCAGCTTTATGGTGTTCAAGAAATTTCTTCCCTTTACTTGCAAGGTGGGACCAGCGTGGTCCCTATCTCTTAACCATTACGGGAATCTGATGACGTCATCAGGCTTTCGAACGTCCGTTAAATGTTTGACTAAAACGTTTTGTAGCACGCGGTGGTATATGCTGCTTTGCGCGCAACAAATGCCGCACTTTCAAATAAAGTCGCTAGGAACAGCGGAGATCCCAAAAAGTAAACAAAAGTAAAAGTCTAATATCTTGAAAACCGGTGAATATTTTTCGATGAAATTTGGTAGATATTCGTTTTTGCTCTTTCTGAACCGAGTGACATCACTTTCATGCCAATTCATTAACTTTTTTGAAGGTGGGAGGGTCCCTTTAACTCGTTTCTGGGATTGGCAGCAGTGAGCAGGATACTTGAGTTGCTGGCTGCACCGGCTGCCTGGTTGCTGGCATCATCCAAGTGGAAGTTGAAAGATGCATACTAATTAAAGCAATTTAATGTTTATTAGTTTATAACACATTCGCGCTCTGCAGTAGTATAAAGAAGTTAATAGGAGTTATATAAGTTGATAGCCACGGTAAGTTTTTGCATAGAAGCATTTACGAATGCATCCTTATTCCTTACTGCGCACGTTAAGGAGGACTGTTGTAGTATAGGTATGTGTTATTTCCCGGTGAATCATTTGTTCAGGTGTCATCCAGCTTTCAAAGTGTGCTATTTTCCGATGCAGGGGCTACTGTTACGTCTGTCTGCGACTGCTGATTGGTCGTGACGCCCCGGAGTCTCTGACGTCACTAGCTGTCTGGCGCTGCCCTATGTGTCACGCGACGCGTGACGTCACTGGCCTGCTGCGACGCCGTCCGGACTGGAAACAGCAGGTAGGAATGATACTGACGCTCACTGGCATTGTGATAAACGTCCCGACAACAGTGAACATCAGGGTAAATGCTCCCTACAGCGTCAGAAATTTATCGGCATTCGCCGTTTTTAATGTGCTGCTCATACTTATGTGTAATGTGTATGCTATTAGTTATCGGCTATGCATACTTTTTGTTATGGGCTTGATAACATGTTAACAGTCAAAATTTATTCAAAATCAAAACTACAAATAACAGTCTCATGATCAAACAAGGGCCTCGCCAAGCAGCTTATATAAGTGCCACCAAGTTACTTCTGCCGTCCATAGTTTCGCCCTATTCAGCCACGCTGACTCCCCCGTTCAGCTGACGTTTTCGGTGCGTTAGACGGTTGCGGCGTTGTGAACGCCCTCCCCTCTGCTGCTCTCATACTATTTTATGTGTTGTGTTGTGCAATGGGCAAGAAGTGACTATGTCACTCACCTAACCTAACCTAACCTGACCTACGTTGAGTTGGTACTGGTTTTATGTGTGCGTTGAGTTTGTACTGGTTTTATATGTTGACAGGTGGCGGCTCTGTTCACCCCTCGGACCCGTCCCACGCCGCCCCCTCCGGCCGACCAGTTCCGGGACCGGCGACCCATCCGAGTCCTGTCGCTGTTTGACGGCATCGCTACCGGTCAGTGAAGCGGTGAGAGGGATATGTTGGGTAATTGGTGAGGGATAGGGACTGAGGAGGTGGGTCGAGTTAATTGGGCGCTGAACGTGGCTGACGTTAGGTGAAGTGACTGCGACTGTTTTCAGCGAGACAGTATACAGCTAGCCGGGTAGCATAGAGACGTTTATGTATTGGTGCGATTTTTTTCTGATAATGGCAACGCAAGCGATTCACTCGAATACAACTCGAAAAAATTGTTTTAGCGAAATAATCTGAATCGATCTGAAAGTGAATGCAAAATATTGTATAAAGAAGTCGCACTGTGACATTTCAACTATTCCCAGATGCCTGTTTCACAGTAACTGAAAACTCATCCCACTAAAATTGACCTCGACCCGGCAGAATTTCGTAGCAGCCCGGCCACATGGCATCCATCGTCCTCTGGGAACCGTCCCCAATGTGTCGCAGTGGCTCCGTCTGAACAGAGCCCTCATTCTGTCAGCGGCGGCTGGCCTGGGCCCGCCCGCGGCGCCGGCGGGGGTCAGGGGTCACGGGTCAGTCGCTGTCGTCTGTTACCTCTCTGTCACCGACCGGACGGCGGTCTGGTGGTATGGCCGGGCTCCAGCGCCGGATCCCATCAGTTTCTACCCCCATTGCGGGGGCGCTGCTTCGCCGTAGACGGAATGAAAGTCGGCTTCACACTGCACTTGTCCTAACTAATGGTACCTTCTTTCTTGTGAGTGATGGCACCTTCTTCTTTTATAACACAGAAAGGCTAGAAACAGCTATTATGACTAAATGTACTCAGAAACGTATTTCATGTCATGATATTACCTCATTACCATCATGTTCCCGGGATTTGTTCGCAGTTACCTGCGGCGCTGCGCGTAATCGGTTTAAAATCAATAACCCGTGATAAACGGTTTCGGCTTGCAATCCACACCAATCAAAGGAATCAATTTGCACTTGCCCGCGGCTGCGGCGCCGGTGCTATTTTTGGGCGGGTCCCTCACGGCCGGCTCGCATTTGGAGCCGGATTTACCCCCGTGCCGCCCCTCCCTCTCCCCCTGGGGCCGATCCGGTGGGTATTTATGGGCCCTTCCTCAGTATAACAGCTATCGGTCAGCAAATTGAATGGTGTACGGTGGCTAGCCCAGGCCCACGCTCCTCGCGCTGAAATAGCACCTGTGGTCGGAGCAGGAAGCGATCGAACACCCAACTTTGTGAAAGTTTTTGGTGTGTCTATTGTTCGTCTGGTTGTTTTTCTGTCGAGGTACTTTTCCACGGCCAGAGACCATTTTGGGATTTAATGGGGCGTTTTACAACGTCTGTTCGGACGTTTGAAAACTTTACTCGGGACCGGAAGTCCGTCGCCGTTATCTTTTTACAGATAAGGAAGCGATTCATTCTTATTGCGGAGTTCCTGCATCAGCTGGAAGTATTTAACCCGCGCACCGACGGGGGTCTGCGCCAACTTAGTACCGACGGGGGGGGGGGGGGCGGATGACCGCCCCCCCCTGAGATCTCGAGAACGAAGCAAGATAGCGACAAGCGGTAAACGGCATCGGATACGCACGGTCAAGATCTACAATTTTTACTAAGGTCATTTTCAGGTCAGGTCAAAGATGACGTCACAGGGGTCGAAAAAGTCAAAATGGCGGCGCTAAATATGGAGAGAGTTTTTCTCGAATAACTTTCGAATTAGTCAAGATAGGAACAAACTAAGGGCCTCATCGTGATCCTCTCGTCAATCCGCATCGAATGATATATATGTTGACCTCGAAAGGTCAAGGTCAAAGGTTGACCTCAGGTCACGTGACCTCGAGGTCATCATGTATATCATTCGATGCGTCTTGACGAGCTGAACACAATGAGACCATCCACGCGTCTGTATCTTGTTCCTGTACGGAGTTATTGGCCAAAAACCTTTGGTGACCTTTGATGACGTCACATGACCTCACAGCTGCCCAACAGCAAAACAAACCTCAAGGTAGTGAAGGTTGATCGTATATGAAGTCATGTATGGTATATGGGGCCATTCCGACCCGTTTTAGTGGTAAAAACAGGGAGTTGATTTTTCCCCCATTGACTTATAATGGGGAGGTCGCGAAATTGACCTGACCTTAGGTCACCGATATCAAAATTCCGAGATATACAAATTGTAGCTACTAATGACCTAATAACATCCTGCGACTTTCAAAGGCCTCCGACATCTACTGTAGCTCTGGCACGGTGACAAAGTTGCAAAAAAGTGACTTGAGGTTGGGTCATTCAAAGTGACCTGGTGACCTGACCTTGAAAGGTAGGAGGTTCAAACTTGCACACCATGTGTAAAATTGATAAGGGAATAGTCATACCAAATTTCGCGGCGCTACGCGCCGCGGTTTTCCCGCTATTCGCGAAAAACCTCAGGGGGGGGCGGATATCCGCCCCCCCCCGTCGGTGCGCGGGTTAAAGTGCCGTATCGAAACCCAGTGAATTGTCGAACGAGAAGGGAAGAATGCACTGTTGAACGTCCGCTGAATCCAGGGTATTGACTCTTCCCTTGAGACGATCTAGCCACATTCGTGAAGTGGCCTAGCGGGGTCGGGTATATAAAAGTCTTCTCTTTGGGAACTGCAAAAGTACAAAGTTTCAGAGGATAGGTATACAGGGTGTCCGGAAAGTCCTGGCGCTTTTCAACATTGTTAAGATAAATGCCTTTGGTCCATAGATACTCAACAATAGAACGAAACAATGACCAGGAACACCAAGCCACATCCTTCTGCTAAGTGCCCATTCATTGTAACCACCGTCTGTGCCGACGACGGCCTCGACGCAAGGGCGGAAACGCCTGCGGGTTTTGACGGTGCAGGACATTTCCTGTCCTCCCATGCTGTCATGATGCGAGTGTTCAGGGACTCCAGGCTGGGATGAGAGGTGGCCTAGAGCTTATTCTGCAAAACGCGTAGCATGCCTTAGTCGAGCGGGTTAAGGCTGGGATAATAAGGTGGCCTAATCTCATTTCACCACGGTGATCTGGTCCGCCGAGCTCCTCTGTCAGTTTGGTTTGGACGGCAGCGGCGTTGTTGGAGGGCGCTCCGTGCTGTTGAAGTGCGACATGACCCTTAGGGCAAGTCGCCTTGATTGTCGTGTCCAGGAACCCCTCGTGGACCAGCCTATCAGTCATTTATTTGACCTTGACGAAGATGATGGGACATTTGTGTCCATCAGACCCAAGATTTTCTTCGATTGCCGCTGAAATGCTGGTTCAGTCTCAGCAGCTTTGGCATACCGTGGTTGTAGCTGAGTGAGAATATTTTCTAAGACATTTCCGATCTGGAGTGCACCTTTGCCTGCTCAACCGTTCGCCGGGAAACGCCGCATCGCGTTGCAACTCGCGCCTCGTTCAAGCCGCACCGGGCCCCCGCGCGCGGGCTCTCAGCGACAAGGCGCATCTTCGCCCATATACCTAGCACTGAAAACGGTTTCAAGGTCATATTTACGCGACCCCTAGCTGAGCGGTGAACGAGGGGTCATATCTGCGGTGATTGGTTGAAAGTCCAATAATCACAGCGCGCGTTAGACGACGTCCAAAAGAGGCGCCAGAACTTTCCGGACACCCTGTAGGCGCTGGGTGGTACTCAAAGCCAAAATGGTTACGTGATCACCACGTGATAGTGTGATGCTTATCTACCAATGCTGCTCGCTGGCTGATATTTTTCAACAATTGAAGCTCTGGTTAACGGCAACTCACTACACGCACGCTTTCCTTGCCGTTATTGTGAGTGGTATCAATGGTATCGGACGTTTTAAATGGACCTGCTTTGAAAGTTATAAAAGATTTTGGGATCATTGACAACTTGTCTCTGTCATGGATCGGTATCGTCGGCGAATCGCGTCTTTCCAGGGCGGTCCCGATCCGTTCCAATGCCGTACCTCCGTTGACGTCACGCGCAGTACCCTCAATGACGTCACCGCCCACCTGCCGCAGGGATGCACGTGCTGACACAGCTGGGGGTGGCCGTGGAGGTGTACCTGGCCTCGGAGACAGATCAGGACGCCATCCACGTGGCTGAGATGAACCACCCGCGCGTCACGCAGATCGGGCCCGTCGAGACGCTCACCGATAGTAAGGTGCGTCGAGTCGACCGTAACTGAATATGAAGTGACTGAATCAGATATTTGAGTCACCCTTTTATCTATGAATCGCACCTTGAGGGTCTGATCTGTGAGATACCCCAAATTCCGATTTTCCATGCATGAGTTACCCTCCTTATCCCCCAAATCTATTAGGTACCCCGTCTGTCTATATTGCCACAGGCATGTGAGTAATGGGTAGCCTGTCATTATTTACCACCCCCCCCCCCCCCTCCCCCTGGTGTGAATCGCATATGACTTTAACCATACATTATCCCCAATACGAGTCACCTGTGACTTATCGTACGTTACCCCCAATATCTGTGAGTCGCTCTTACCTCCTCCTATCCCCAGATATGCGAGCTGGCGCCCATGGACCTGGTACTGGCCGGCTCGCCGTGCACTGACCTCAGCGTGGTCAACCCCGCCCGGTGCGGCCTCTACGGTCAGTGGTAACCGGTATTTACCAAGGTAATCGGTATTACCCCTCTACATTCCTGTTACGTCCGTCTGATCGGGCTCAGAGCCTGCCTGGTAACACATAGTCAGCCAGGTAACACGGAGCCTACCTGGTAACACTGCCAGGCAGGTAACACCGAGCCAGCATGGTAACAGGACGTGTTAGCATTGGCTCTCATCGGCTCATCCGATTTGAGCGAAAGTAGGATCTGTTGTTCCCACGCCAACAAATTAGTCCCGTGCGCCTTTGTTAGGCAGAGTGCTGCTTACATCGTCAATAATGACCCTGATTTCCACTAGGAATCGTCGTATTTACACGATAGGTAATTACTTCACATTTGATGATCAAATATTCACACTTAATGAAGGTCAAACACAATCGTTAGCGGGGTTCCCGAGACGTAATTGTGAGTGGTCTCGCGAGAATCTAGTGTAAATCTAGCAAAATCAGTCATTGATATCTTACTGAATAAGCAGCCGTTTCGTTCTTCCCCGTATTAATTCGGGCAGAAATGTCTGTGTACATTTATCAGTGCTCTGATGACGAACCTCAATATCTCGGTTATGTATGCTGCTGTGATATTATACTCGTATAGCGTCTCAGTGCCTGATGTGCGCTGCTCTTATATAGTGTCTAACGTAGGATGTACGCTAGAGCGCCCGCGACACTGCCGGTCAATGTCCGGTGACAGTTTCTGTCGTCGCACGTTAGCTACGGATCACTGTTGTCTGAGCCAGCAGGATACTCACACAGACGTGGGTAGCACTAACGCCATGGTAGACCCCCAACCTGGCCTGTACTGAAGGCGACCTGAATGACTAACCGACTGGAAGTGTACGCTTCCCACTGTTGTGTTTTTCTGTGTGAGATGTCCTGGGGGGTTTTACGACTAACCGCGAGTGCTGTTGTCTGGCTATGAGAGACTTTTTCTGAAGGACAGTTCATTAGTGTTTCTCGTGAACTGTATGCGCGTCGTAAACGCAGTCCGGTAATGGCAGAGGCCTTTGTGCTAACGCTGATGATCGCGTATCCGCTTTGTCTTTCACTGAGCCGAACTAATGACTACGGAGACATGTCTGTGACATCAAATACAATATTTTTATCGTTTGTCTTGGCGTCAAGTACAAAACATGCATTAATTGTATACTGTTTGCCACTTATGTGCGATGTTTCAAATTGAATCGTTTATTATATGCTTTAGATGGCTTTAGACATTGTCTATAGCCAATGTCAATGTCGTCATTGTCTTACTAGGTACTCATTCTCAAGCACAAAATAAAAGAAATTGAGGTTTGGCTGCAATATGAACTGACCGCGCTCCATGTCCCGATTTTACAGACCCGGAGGGCACCGGTATCCTGTTTTTCGACTTTTACCGCGTGCTGCGCAGTGTGGAGGTGTCCAACCGGGGTCGGCACATGTTCTGGCTGTTTGAGAACACCGCCTCCATGCCGCTCGAGTACAGAAAGGTCATCTCGAGGTACGGCCGGCCACTGAACGGGTCATCACGAGATAGCTGCGCTGGGAAGATGCATGGCGTTCGTCCACCCAATGACGAAATCAACAGTCACTTGCTGTTGTTGAACTTAGTAGCTATCACTGCGCGGTGGCACTAGAAAAGATGTTACATTATGTGCAATTATTGTCAAAACATTCATCCATTTTAATTGCTGACTTATATTTCAATCCCTTCTGTTCTACGTGGTCTAACGGAGGGATTTGGTAGGTAGGTACTGCGTCGCTGAGGGGTCATAAAGGAACTCACTCCCGGATAACTGACTCGTTCAGACTTGTTGACCTTTATCCACGAGCTGTCCATGTGACGTAGCGATTCAGGACTCAGGAGATAGCTCCATAACCCATTTGTGTAGATTTGTGACCTTGTAAGTGGCTTCAATGTCCGGGGTAGCTGCAGGCATTAAACCGTTAACTAGCCGAATATATGTCGGAAGGTTGAGGAAATATAAAGCAGTCGAGATTCCTCCTCCTCGAAGGGTTAAACACTTACTTTAGGTACTTACAGCACCTTACATTTGAGCTTGTTTTAGATATCCAACAATGCATTTAAGTGGTGATTAGCTAGATGATGCTCATGGGATAGGGCTGCATCTTACTCCACCGACGGAACTAACCTTTTCTCCCACAGGTTTTTGGGGATGGAGCCGGCCCTGATTGACGCCAAACACTTCACGGCCCAGAGTCGACCGCGGTTCTTCTGGGGAAACATACCCGGTTAGTAGCAGTGGCGGATCCAGGGGGGGGGGCAAAATGGGCATTTGCCCCCCCCCCCTCCCCCAAACGGCATAATTTTAACATTACGCCTATGGACGATGCATGGAAAGAATCGATAAATTGTTATGGTTTGCCCCCCCCCCCAAAAAAAAAAAAAAACTCTGAGCTGGATCCGCCTCTGGTTGGTAGTTCGTGGCCTTGCTTCGAGGGACATACTGGGTCAGTGGTCAGGGACTTACCTCCCTCTCTTCTGGAAAAAATTGTCAATGCCTGTCCTTATGCTGCCGATCTGTGTACAAGTTACAACACCCACAGGTCCCGCGCAAATGGTGGCAGCATATCATTGCTTTCTTTGTTCATGCTTATCTTGCTACATGCAGTTCGTTTTCGAACTAATATTACCAATAATTCTGAATGTGCTGCCCCTCAGGTCTGTAACCGTCCCTGCCGCTATATGTAGTGACCAGCGTAGGTACCCCAGTATGTATACTGACTATTTTCCGCTGTACTGCACCCACAGGTCTGTACACACCGCTGCCGCCCCACCTACTGCAGTCAGAGCACAGTATCGAGCCGTGCCTGGTGCTGCCCAGTCGGCGGCCAGTCACGGAACAGGTCAGTGTGGGGGTCATAATAAGGTCATTGACGGGTCAGAACAGGGTCCAATGGGTCCCGGGTACCCGACAGATCAGTGTGGGGTCAGCATAAGGTCACCAGCAACGGTCAGTCGCCCAGGGTCACCAGAGGTCCCGGGCAGCTGACAATTTGGAATGGGATAAGATAGTTTAGGTCAGCGGGGGATCAGTTCAGAGTTGCATATGTCAGAACAGACCGGTCCTAAGGATGAATTTCAGTACGTGATTACAGGGATCTTAAAACTGCCACAGAGTTGTCAGGAGTTCTGGATCTGCTTGCGACGTTGTCGACTGTCGTCCCCTTGAAGCAGACCGGCGCATTGAGACACTGTAGCTTCCCGTTTCGCTCACCAGCTGTCACTGTCGTCGGCAGGTGGGCTGCGTCACGACGAGCCGCAACTCACTGCGTCAGGGAAAGCTGGGCGTCACGCCTGTGACGATGGACGGCGAGGGTGACGTGATGTGGATCACCGAAATCGAACAGGTATCGTCACAAAATATAACGGATGCGACGAGCGAGGCACACACGGCTGTCCTTGATCTTTGTCTTTGTCTTTGTCTTCGTCTTTGGCGGACCTCTGGCAAGACTTTGAAGACCGTTCCGTGCTTCTATCCTCAGGATGCTGAAATCCTTCTCCACCACGCCGCAACCCTCTCCGGGCTGGACAGGCAACTTTCTCTCATGCGGATTGCGGGCTGCTCCCTTGGAGCGGCACCGCTGCTCCCGAGGGAGCGCACCCCGTAGCCGGGTGCAGTGAGTGCCTTGGGGCTGGGTGGCCTGCCCTCTGGACGGGCTCAGCCCCGGCGACTCACTAGGGTGCCTGCCCAGACCAATGTCTCCCCCTATATCCTATCATCCTCCCGGCTCTGAAATGGTCTCATTGGACCGAAAGGGCCTAACCCAACAAAACAAATAAACAAACAATAGTAGTTACATGATTGAGTTAGGACTGTCCTCTAGTAGCATTTAGCTTCTGTCTTTGAAAGACTCATTCTTCTTGCTGGTCCGCATATACAAGCGCTGCTTTTATCGGTCGGTGGGGCTCCTCTCTATTCTGCCCCATCTGATAGGCCCGCCATCTGGTGCCGTCGGGGCCAAATCACAGTCCGTGTTTTATGTCCCTGTCTCAGACGCTCGGCCTGCATCGCCACTACACAGACCTGGGCCCCTAGAGGATATATGACCTCAGTTGGCCTCAGCCAGTCTACCCCTTCCCCCTGTCTCAGATGTTTGGCCCGCAGAAGCTGTCCTGACCTCACTGTTACCTCCCCCTGTCTCAGATGTTTGGCCTGCCGCGCCACTACACGGACCTGGGCAGTCTGGGCCCGCAGAAGCGACAACAGCTGTTGGGCAGGGCCTGGAGTGTGCCCGTCATCAGGCACATTCTGCACAGCCTGACGCCCTTCTTCGCAACGGCAGACGGAGAGACAGAGAGGGCCTAGTGAGCTCAAAGGTTGGAGATCTACCCGTGAGAGATCCTATGTGGGGAGGGGCACTTAGTGCTGAGTTCCAGTAATGTGTTGGGAGAAGTGGCTATTCCAGAAAGCTAGCTATTCGGTTGTAACAGTTTTGTCCCTTGTCATACTCATGTATGTGCGCTGTGCCTGTTTTTGCTTGTTGATGTTTAAGCAGCATCAGTGACCAAAATGTTTCGGCTGTGATAACCTGGGTGCTGTTGTGACCAACCATTGTGTGTTCAGCTTCGCTGACTTTTTGTTGTGCGTTGCGTATAGTGTAATGCTCCCTTTTCACCATGTGATTTTGATCTTCTGTCACTGATCTCGACAATGAATGGTGCTAGTCGTGACCTGTTTCATACGCGTATTTGTTGCATGTTTCGATGTTCAAATTGTTTATCTCTATGGCACGCCCAATGTTCACTGGTTACCTGTGTGTATTTGTTATGTAACCAGTCAGCTGGTTCACCGAAAGCTAGTCAATTGTTGAACGTAGCGGTGCAGCCTTCTGTGAAAACCAGGAGTCAACTTCCCCTAGCGATATATGAGCGTCTGTGTCTTGCGTAAGCTATTGGTTTAGCCAAGTCATTGTGCTTTTTGAACTCTTCATAATCTTCCAATGCAACAGATGTCAGATCTGTCGTTTTTTAAGAAAGTAGATGGTAGCTCGGAAACCCTTTGCTTCTGGAGCATTGCTACGAACAGGATATTAACCCTCGCCCGCACATGGGGGGGGGGGGGGGGGTTGCCACCCCCCCCCCCCAGGTAGTCTTTCTGCTCTGCACTCAACATTTTTAGAGCTAGAAGGCTGATTTTTCGTATAGCTGCTCGTCTATCCTTTCTTGATGTCCACTGAAAATTTCAAGTTTCTGTGATTTTTGGTTTCGGAGATATGACCTTGTTTTTCAGGTCATGTCATGACCCAAATGGCCAATTCTCAACATGTTGCGTTTGCCATGGGCCTTGTGAGCTTTTGACACCCTGATTTCGGCCTTTTTTGCTAGTCTTACCTCCCACCTATCATGGAACATGTTGTTGGACGATGTACAGGGGTCAAGGTCAGGGTCAAGGTCAACCTAGGTCATCTAAGATAATTGCGTTTTAGGCAAGCTGAATTTACTTTTTGTGAAGTTTTTTGACTGTATTTTTGGTAAAAGCTTCTCAGATCATGATTTCATGTAATATGGACCCAAAAACAATCGGTGCACACATCAGTATACACACAGACACACACAGACATACAAACACATATAATTGACCTTGACCTAACTTGACCTGAAATGACCTCAGCAGCAAAATTCTGGTCGGGTAGTGTGACAAAGAGGTTCTAGCTGGCTTGGCACCAGAAAACAGCATCGTCATCGGTATTTGATAAGCAGCGCACTTGATATCCAACGGTGACCCAAAACAGCAACATTTTTTAGTTTGACCTGACCTGGAAGGTCAATGACTGACCTGAGAAGGTAAAACTGGGTATCATTGGATTCGTCTCTTCCCAAAGAATCTTTTTTGTCTTTACCGCTAAGCTCTACCTCCAACAGGAACGAAATGGCGCGGGGGGGGGGGGTGGCAACCACCCCCCCCCATGTGCGTTCTAGGATGGGAAAATGGCATGTGCGGGCGAGGGTTAAGCTCAGTGCACAGTAACTCAGCTATCAGTTGCATGTTGACCACTCTGTTTCTTCTGAATACATATATTGTCATTCGTACAACATAGCATGATATTATCATATTCCGGTTCTCACGTATCACATCACATGACAGTATTCTCACAGCGGAGGAAGTCGAGTTACAATGAAATTGTACGTCGGCCACAATCGCTCCGTCGCTTCCAGAATACTTGTTCATCACTGTACAACTGGCTACTGAGTCAGACGGCGCACCGGCCGCCGAGACAGACACATGAAGAATGAGGCGACGACCACAGCGCACGGCACTGCGCTGAGAAAGCACGGACTATCAGGTCAGATCACTGTCCGCCGGTGCGGACATCTACAACTTCATCTCCCACAGCACCAGGTGGGCGTCCCGCGCGGTGGGTGGTCGCGGGGTGGTCGCCGAGCTCTTCCGCTCTGCGCGGCTCCAGTTGACGTACCCCCTGCCGGCCATCACGGTCAGCACGCTACGCGCCGGCTCCTCCTTGGGCCGGGCGCTGTCGCCGCTAGCGCCGCTGCCGCTGCCCGCCGACCGGCCATCGCTGGTCGTTGTGTCCGTGCGGAACGAGGCGACGCGCGAGGCGGGCGCCGAGTGGGCTCGATCGCCCTCTGATGACGAGCTGGTGGTGTGCGCGGAGGAGCGCGAGTCCACCGACCACGTGGAAAGGTCGAGTGAGCGCGGCCGGGTACCGCGCAGCTCCAGCCGCCGGTCCAGTGAGGCCATCTTGTGCGGCAGGCCGGCCAGCAGCTCCGGGTCACTCCTGCGCAGCTGAGAGTCGATGTCACCCAACTCTCGCGACTCATCGAAGCCTGGCAAGTTGAGCAGGTTGCCGTAGAGGCCGTACACGTCATCCAGCACGCTGCCGGCTGAGGGAAGACCCACGCCGCGCGGCAGGGTCTTGGACAGCCGCCGGTTCATGTCCCGGTCTCGCGAGCGCTTCCTCAGCAGAGACGGACTGCTAAAGCGGGTCGGTAGGCGCGCCATGCTCTTCTTTGAGTCGCTGAGACTGGTATCCGATCGCCGCTTCTCGAGCAACCTTCCGGTAGAGTCGGGCGCCGCCTCCTCCATTATAACACTCTCCCGATGGGCGGCCGGCGGCGGTGCGCGCGGCGCAGGGGCGCTCAGCACCTGTAGATAGGTCACCGGTCCGCAGTGCGCGTGGTACGAGATGTTACCCCGGCCGGATATAATCGGCACGCCCTCGAGCCGCGGCAGAGGGATGGTGAGCGTCACTCCGACACTGGTGCCCACCCAGAGCAGCCCGCGGCCGGCCAGCAGCGCCGTCACTGCCACCGACTGACGCACGCCGTCGCCCATGACACGCGAGATATTGGAGGCTACGTTGATGTCCTGCAAGTGGCGGAACGTCTCCGTGTGGTACAGGCAGATGGTGGAACTGTGCGCCAGCGAGATCCACAGGCCGATGCCGCTGTGTGCCAGCAGGTGCACGTCACCGGAACACTCGTGCTCCTGCACCGTGAAGCTCTTCTGTCGGACAGAAACGGGCGCGCGTCAGTGATAGATAGTGATGGTGTAGAAATGAATTTGGGTCGCTTCTGGACATAACATTGGGTTTAAATGCGTACGTGAGGAAAGTGATCTAACTCACAGAACGTAGCTTACACATACGAGAATGCATGTTTGCCGATGGTCTTCACTGACAGCATCATCCTCCAGTCATGTTGGAATTTCCAAGCTGACTAGAATGTTACAGCCTTTCTTTTCAATCTTTTCGCTATGGCATCGCAATCCATATCTCAAATATCTTTCTCGCCCCGAAATACATCCCTAAAGTTAACCGTTGACACTATCCCACTGCTCTGGGTCACCACCAGCCTCAGCTTCTCCGGTACTCACCACCACCTCCCTGGTCTCAGCATCGATGACAGACACTTGCCGTCCGCAGCCGGCATACACGGCGCCCCCTATGGGCAGCAGGCAGGCCACGGGCCGCGTACCGAGCCGCAGCAGGGCCGGCTCGCCGGGCAGCCAGCCGCCGTCCGACGCTCGCTCGATGGCCGCCACTGCGCCGTTCTCTAGTGCGGCGAACACGGCGGCGCCGTGCGGCACTAGACGGCGCGCCGGGGACGGCAGTGACGCACTGGCCACCTGGTGACTGTGCTCCGGCTCCTGGGCAGAGTACTGCAGCAGCCTGCCGACAGAGAGAGGGGAGGTCAGGGGTGGCTCAGGTAACCCCCAGACAAACAAGGTGGCAACGGCTCACTGGTAATTATACTATTCAGATGGCGACCACAGTAGAAGGGGCAGTGACAAACAAATTAAAGCAATTAACAGAAAAAGACGCAGCATAGAAAACTGAATGCCGACTAAGGCCCGGAACACTAAACATAGGTACAGAAATCTGCAGACACAACTGTTATCAAGGTAGGTAAAAACTGAAGAATGGTACTCAAATGACTGTAGCATTTCAGAAGATTCAAGCTATGAAAACATTTAATGCAAAAGAAAACATTCATCGGGCACGAAATGATATCCTTCACTCATGCAAATGAATGCAAATGTGATAAGCGCACGTCTAATTTCGCGCCTCGCTGTATGCCTCACGGCCGACAGGCCGGGACATGATGTGATGATACAGGGCTATGAATAGCACCGAGCCAGTTCACAGCCCCTGAGGAACTGCCGCCGACGCCCTTCTATCCTGCTGTGTGATAGGTCCCACACCCTGTCCGCCTCATTCAACAGTAACACCAATCTCGAATTTGTCCGTTACAGACTCACCAGAGCCGGGCCCAAAGCGGCTCCGCCCTGCCCATCATGGCCATGGTCCGTTACCAACCGCAACTAGCATCCGTGTAAACACAGCTTAGGGTGCTACATGGCGTGAATCATCCTCTGTAAGCCGTAAGTCGCATGGGTGAGGCGAGAGCATCATCAGCTGGATATACTAACATCTCTTAGGACGATGAAGATAAGTTTCAGATGGTAGCGAAGCCAATCCGCTACTGCGCTAAAAACTGTCGTGGCTTTCAATTTGAGAGAAACATGTTATTAGCACCGCTCGCTGATGTGTTGGTTTTTGTTTTGGCCGACACAGCGTGGGCGAAACCGCTTCAAAGGCTGTGAGCGGAGCGCTGCAAGTGCAGCCGACACAGCACACCCGTGGCGCTATTTTTAGGCGGAGCTCTCCTCTCTCCGGTTACGGACTGGCTGTGACTGAACGAGCCGACTCTCCGGTAATCTAGCAGTCTCTCTGTGTCACAACTAACAGCTCTGTGAGACAGCTATTTAACTGTAACCGTGGAACAGCTGAGACTAATTAGATTCTGGTACTGCACGGTATGCTGTCCTGGCACTGCTCACTACGCTTCTGACCCTGCTGACCTAGCCGACCCCTCCCCTGCCAATCCTGCTGACCCCCCACTTGTTGCGCTGGTAGTCTACTAATCCTACACCTGTCGAACCTGTTGACCTACCAGCTGCTGACCTGTCGATCCGGTAACCAGCCGGTCGTTGACCCTGCCGATACAACTGACCCTGTTGACTCGTTCCCTGTTCAACTCCTGCGTACCAATCTGCTGGGGATGCTGACCCACCAGCCGCTGACCTGCTGAGCCTGCCGACCTGATGACCTTTCGTACCCATCTGCTGCTAGCGAAGCTGATCCATCCGACTCTGTAGAGAATTGATCTACCAGCTGCTGACCTGCTGATCACCTACTGACCAGCTATACTGACCCTGCTGAACTGCTTACTAGCTACCGACCCTGCTGATCACCAGCCGCTGACCTGCTGATCAGCTACTTACCCCATAACCCATCAGCTGCTGACCTGCTGATCTCACGAACTCACCTGCTGCTGGCGGTGCTGATCCAGACAGCTCCCGAGCGGCAGCCCGTCTCTGTCATCTCTCCGGACACATATTCCATGGCGGTGACCCGCTCCCCGGGTAGCTCGAAACGTAGCACGTCCCGGAACCCGACCTGCGCAACAGGAACACGGCACGTCAGGCACGGCGGAGATCGGAAAGTCACGTGGTGCTGGTGCGATGGAGATGAGAAAGTCACGTGGTGTTGGTGCGGTGAAGATCCGAAAGTCACGTGGTGTTGGTACGACGGAGATCAGAAAGTCACGTGGCGTTGGTAGGCACAGGGGTGGCGAACGGGTCACGTGGTGTCAGTACGGCGGTGGCCGACAGGTCACGTGGTAAAGGGAACGATGAAATATCTTTCATAATATCTACGTGATACCTATCGCAATGAGAGTCGGGCTTTCCATTGCATTTTTACATGGATTCACTGAACCATGCTACTCATAACAGAAAGTATAGAGATCTCGACGAGTATGGGCCAAACGTTTCAATATCACACCCCAGTACGTGAAAAATGACCTCTGAGCTGTGCTATTCACCAACTTGAAAAGGATTAGCACAAGGGGTAAAGGTGAGCAATAGCAGTTTTATTCATCAAATATATCTCCTGGTAGGACAGGTCCCCATCTCTGGGAATACGTTCAAAGGAGACGTTTAGCTATGAGCCGGCCTTGAACAGATCGATACCCGGAGCCCAGACGGTAGCCGCCAAGGCTGTGTCGTCACCTGCCGAGTAGCGCAACTTGTCCCGGGAGCGTCCCGAGCCCCGTGACCCGGTAAACATTTACCGCGAGCTGCGCAGGTTCTCGGCCAAACGCCACTCGTGCGCGGAAGTTCGCCGAACACGAGCGGCCATCAATTTGGTGTCGGGATCCACGAACCGAGCAGCAAACATCGGTCACGCTCACCGCAATGTGTACATAATCACGGCCAAGTTTACGGTCACGGCCAGAATCTCGGGGTTGGTCGGACCCGACGGCCGGGCCAACGGCTACGAGCCGACCGGCAGCGGCGCCTCAAATATTTGGGAGAAGCTCGAGCCACCAAACAAACGACCTTAGTCGACTGACCTAGTTTTGGTTCAACAATCGCAGGAAACTTCCTGCAGAGGACGAGATGAATGGAAAGCGGCGCTGTGTCTTGCGAGGTTTAGCTTGACTACATTATTGTAGAAACAGTCTTGCTTTTGAATATGCCCTCCAATCGCCGAAGGCATTTAGCGTATGTGAGCTGTTTTGTGGTGTACCCCATAGTTTCATTGGCGCCCTTTACATTATATCAATTCGTTGAAATTACCAGTTTCAAACCTACCAGATCGGCATAATCATACTCTTTTCAGTCAGTGCGAGTCTAGGCTACAACAAAGTTAAGCGTCAGACATATGTAATTAACTGAACAGCATCGAACGCCGAGCGAAGGAGTCATTCTCTCACATCCCTCCCTCCCACTATCTCACCTGCTGCATGGCGTAGATCATGACGAAGCTGTTGACGCCGTCGCTGGTGCAGATCCAGAGGTAGCTCTGCTGCCGAGTGCGCTGGGTCGGCTTCACGATGGTGACGCTGTAGAAGCAGCCGCAGCGCACCTCTGTGTCGTCTATAGCGGCGGCTGGCGTCACCACCGGCATCGTCTTCACGAACAGCGGAACTCGCGTGATGGCCCGCTGCTCGCGCTCCGGGATATCCCAGGCGGGAGAGTTGTTGCCTGAGGAGAGGTGGGGAGCAGTTAGAGAGGAAGCGAAAGAGGGAGGGAGGGAGACGCCCAGGTTTCGTGTGTCATTTACAACCAACGCAAACGGGTTCCAGATTGGCCAACCGAGGCCACAAGGCTTTCATGACTGCACGAGGCTGCGAAACCAACCACCACCACTAACACCTTATCCACGCCCATCCCCCTTCCAGCTGTAGTCCTAACCGCGAGGTCTGCGGGGACCTGTCGCGCTGTCCTGACACCCACCGCGGCCCAGACTTCCTCTTCCCTCCGCGGGCGGACCACCTACCATCGAGCGCCAGCTGGGCCAGCCGGAAGTCGGTGGTCCACTCGCGTTTTTTGGCCGGAGACTCGAGCTGGAAGGTGAAGTGCTCCTCCTTGCCGGCTCGGCGGACGGTCAGCTGCAGGCAGCAGGCGTCCAGCCACGCGATCTCCTCATCCTTCTGTCGGATCGAGCGCTGGATGGATGCCGCGATCTGAGAGGTTAGTGCCGTGTTGAGACCCTGCGGAAGAGGTCAGAGGTCAGGTCAGGGGTCAGAGCTAAAGGGTCAAAGGTCACGGGTCACGGACGGAGGGTGTATTGGCCGCAGTCAATCAGGGGGTCTGCGGTAACTGAGGGGCTACATCTCATATAGCGTCGACAGATTGTGGGCGATGCCCTATTGTACCCAGTGCAATCATCATCCTAAATCGTGTCAGCCCTGCAGACTGTCACTGTCGTGTTCCGCCAATACACGGCAAAGGTCACGCGTAGAAGTGCGGTTCGCTATCAGCGGGGAGCACACCAGGTCACAGGTCACAAAAGGTCACCAGGCGTCACTGTCAGATGGCGAAGACACAACAGCAGCACCGACAATGTCAGCGCCCGCCAACCGAAAAGTCAGCGACGACGTCCGCAAATCGAACGTTCAATAAACTGACGACCGGGAGCCGGCAGATAGCTGCGAATTCAAATAGCTGCATAAATCTGCAGCATGTTGCACCGCAGAAACCGCAGCCGTCATCCGGGTACAAACCGCACTGTACCGACGAGTGTAAGCGGCTCCTTATCACACACACTGTGAGACAACCCGACACGGGACAACCAATGACGTCACCACCTCAGCAACCCAGTCGCCCGACGGAGCCCAGCCCGAACACGGGGTAACACCGCCTCCCGATGTGTTGACACACCCCAAAGTGTGCATAAACGTCAGCGGATTCATCTACAACGGGTGCCGCGCCAGCTTAGGCGCCGCTCAGTACGAGCACTTCCTTTTACGTCCGTTGTCATGCAAAGGATGGGCTGCCGGGTATCTTACATCCTGGTTCCAGCGCCCAGCAGCCCGGGATGACGTGGGTTCAAAGGAGATGAAACGGCAGATTGATGAAGGCTCGCTACACGACTGTGAAGAAGTTTTCAATCAAAATATAAAAAAGCGGAGTTGCAACGGACAGTTCCTTGTCGACATTTCCAAACGATCGTCAATATTAACGGATCGGTAGTTTTCAGATGTTTTCCCGTTGTTCCCCGAGCTGTTTGTCGCAACAATAATCGGAAATATGTTCAATGCTTCAGCCATGTAAGTTGTAACTAGTTTCGACCAGCTTTTTGTGTCGCGTCTGCGCGTCGCAGGCAGTCGGCAGTCTGCCAGAGTCGAGTTGAGGGGATAATCCTCCGTTACGGGTTTCACCGCGTCTGAAACCGGACAGGTCCGGACAATAGAGACCTTGTCGCCATGTCGCGAATGGCCCGACGAACGGAACCCAGCGCCAAACTGCCGGGATAAGACGGAGACGGGACGAAGTCGGGATGTGGCGGAGACGAAGACGGGACGGGATGAGACGGGACGGAGACGGATATGGATACAAAACCGCGACAGTGCCAAAAGAAGACGGGACGGAGACGGGACGGCGATGGAGACGGAGACGGAACTGAGGCGATGTCACGATAGCTCAGATAACTATATCCAGGAGACCGGAACGAGCTTTGATAACAACAACTGCTTTGATGGCAAAAACTTCCGCCCAGCGATGCATCAGAACAGCATGACGGCAAGCTACATGTTTACAGGCCATCTAGAATAAAATATTAGCTGGCTTGTGAACATAAAAAACAACGACTACCTACAGTCCAATCACAAAACAAATTTTTTCCCAGAATGCTGACAACATGGTGGCTATATTAATTTGGCAGCCGGTAAATTAGTGTGCTGAGCGATACATAGACAGTTTTTGGTTATCCACTAAGCGCAAACACAAACCATCCTCGCCTGAAATGTCAACGAATAAAACAAAACTTTTGCACATGTTTCGGTCTGCTAGTTATGGTTCACGTAGCCACAAAAAGTAGCCGACAAGGGCCTTCTTTTCTCTGCTCGTGTTTGTTTATTATCCGTGTTTGTTTATTACCGGTGTTAGTTTATTGAGGTTTTCCGGTGGACCGCCCGCCTCGCTCGTTTGAAGCTCTCCCCTTACCCAGCCTCCTCCCACCCACTCACCGGGTATTCGCCCTTGAGCGTCTCGACGAGGGCGCCGATGCGCGAGATCACCTCGTAGTCGTGCATCAGGTTGCCCATCTTGTGGCACAGCTGGCCCACGTTGCTGAGGTCGTTGGCCGCCCCACCGGCGGCCGGCGGCTCGTCGGGGCCGCGTGCGCCGCCCGGCGGCCGCGCCGCAGTTGCAGTGATGACGTGGCTCAGAGTCAGCGAGGTGCTCGTCTCCTGGATCTCCACATCCGTCACAGGGACAGACCATTTGAGCGTGAGCCGGTCGGGTGCCGCAGCGTCCTCGGCCGTCTTGCCGGCCACGCTGACACACACCACCAAGTCGTTGAGCAGGAAGAGGCGCCGGTTCTTGGACTTTGTGATGGTGCCGTTGGTGCCGAACTCGAGTCGCGTGGCGTTGTCCTCCCGCAGCAGGTAGCGGTTGGTGTCAGCCAGAGAACGCATAGAGAACTTGCCGTTCAGACGGCGCAGAGTTTCTCGGAAAGCCTGGGGGATAAGAGATGTATATTGAGTCATGCTGTGACAGCTTACTAGTGTAACGATTTCGAGCTGTAAGGAAGGAGAGCGAACAGAATACATAAATATTGCACATGTTTACGAACGGCTTATTGTGAGGTAGTATGAAATATGTTTGTGTTATGTAATTCCCTGAAAGCCGTCACAAGACGCCAATCTCAAGAACAATCAATAGCAGGCCCGCCGCCCAGGCCAGGGAATTCAATTCACTTACTAAAATACAATATCATATAAAACAACAAAACCATCAATATTCCTTGGGCATGCGGATACCTATTGAATAAAGACCTCATACTAAGGCTAATTGATGAACTCAACAGTGAAATCTAGGTGAAAAGAGACACATCCTCCATGAAGTTAGTCATAACCCGCAAATCGTCCACGATCCCCATCCCAGCTGCATCCCTACATACGTCTCATCCCATCGCCCACCGCCCTCCTCAGCAGTCCCGTCTCTGCAACCCACCTTGAATTGTTCCGACTCGCGTTTCCTCTCGTTGAGCATCTCTGCCAGCGACTCGAGCTGCGTCAGCGCCAGTTGTAGCGACATCCGATCGTGGTGCCCCTGCGGCGTGTGCTTCAGCAGGTCCTGGAGCAGCGGCAACAGCGCGTCAGAAAGCGGGCAGAGGGTCGTACAGGGAAGTGTAGCAACAATTAAAAGCAAGAGAGTAACGAAAGTAGAAAATGAATTGTTTAAGAGGAGACAACTGATTTGTGTGAGCCTGATTGCAAATGTGAGCCTCGTATGGAATTACTACTTACTTTGCTGTGCAAATTTACGAGTTGCTGATATGCCAGCAACGATGGTTGCTGGCATATCGGATTATATCGCACGTCCAACGAATGAATGTCCATTATCAACGCTACACCGAAAAGCAACACAAGCGACATTGATAAACCACATCAACTTTAGCCATGCTGTCTGACTCTATGTATTCTCACCTGCAGCAGAAGGATGAACTGCGGGAACCGCTGTACGGGCTTCACCATCAGACCGAACAGAGACAGCCGGTCTGGCGAGCTGATCTGGCGCATCTTCAGAAAGTCGGCAAACGTGCTCTTCCGCTTGGCCTCGTGCTTGATGGTTTCCATGGAAACGGAGAAGTTGTTGATGAAGTCCGAGTAGATGTCGAGGACGATGGCCTTGGAGAAGGAGGCCACGAACACGTCCCCGATCCGCTCCTCCGCGTCCCACTGCTTGACGGCCTCGGCCAGCGCGATCCTAAACAGGGTGTGGCACTGCAGGATCTCCGGCACGCGCTTGAAGATGACGGAGATCTTGGTGGGGTTCAACAGCGGCGGGTTCGCCTCCTCCATCGCCTTCTTGTAATCCTGAGGGCAGAGATGTGGAATGGTAATGCCTTTATATAAGCACTGGGATTTGAGTCTGTTGGAAGCGTGTTGTTAACCCGCGCCCCGTAGGGCTACCGGCGGACCCTACCACCCGTAGGGGGGGGGGGGCCGTTTCGGCCCCCCCCTAAGATCTCGGAAAGTTACCGGCCGATTTTCAAAATTCAAACGGCGTTTGATAGCCCTACCCGGGAACTACCTTGTGACCAAATTTCATTGACCTAGGTCAAACCGATGACATCACAGGTCAGGTCAAAGGTCAGGTTTTCACCGTTCACAGGCAATTCAAGAAATGTGCTGTGAAATCGAGTAAACTGGTAATTTATTGAAAACCATCGATGGTATATTGTTCGTCAAACACATACTTTGCTATCTGAGGTCACTGATACCAGGTCAGGTCACAGCGAGGTCAGGTCACCGGGGGTCACAATATGAATGTGTCGTGTGATACATGTTTTATGGTCCATTTTACATGACAAATGCGATTATGTGGGTTAGGCAGCCTTTGGGGCCAGCCTAGGTCACGTTTTGGTGAAGGCCAGGTCAAGGTCAGGTCAAATTAGGTCAAATTTCAAAGTTGATATTTTTGCATAAAATGGGTATCCATTCGATGCAGCTCGTCACGGGGAGTCTCATGATGGTCTTTGTTTTGCTGTACGAGTTCTAGAATTGCCAAAAATTGAGTTTGAAAATTTGACGTCATCATTTTTAACAGTTTTTTCGCTATAACTTGGCCAAAAAACGAGGTATCGATCTGAAATTTGGTATGTAGATAGAAGACGGTAGGTACTATCACATATATTCCGGTTTTTTCGAAACTCAAAAAACTTTTTGGATTTTTTGGCTAATATATCCAAAAAAAAATGCTTTTTTGATTTTTGGGGATCAAAACTCAAAAATTTCAAAAATCCGAGATAGCAGTTTTGTAGCCCTGTCAATTCTACACCTTTTATGTCTTGATCATTTTTCTGTATTTTCAAAGCTGTAGGCCTGACAGGTCTTCTCGCGAAGGTCTTTTTTCGGTCGAAAATGACAGAACATGACGTCACTCTGACGTCATTTGTGGCCAACCTATCACAGCCTTTGGAAAAATTTTTGGTTACAACGTGTAAAATTGATGCCCGGAGGGGTCCTGAAAGTTTGGTGGCGATATCTCCAGCCGTTTAGGAGATATCGACCGAAAAGGACAGGGGGGGGGCCGTTTCGCCCCCCCCCCTACGGGGCGCGGGTTAATATTTGCGCCTCGTGGAAAGTGGTTAGTAGAGTCTGGCCCACAAACTTCGGTTACTAATCAAACTAGGTTACTTAATAGCACAGATATAAACGTGACAATCAGTAAGAAAAAGAGAGCGATTTCTCCATTTGACAATAAATGTCTAGTTGTGACTATGGTGAACTGTACGTCAAACAAGACACAGAAGACAGACGCTTGTTATGATTAGCAGAAACTGCTGCGAACTTCACTTTCAGTATCAGATAGTTGAGGCGATGGTCCGGTCCTACCAAAAACAAACTGCAGCGATCATCTTCGGTCGTACCATAGTGTCAACGGGTCATTTCGCCCGGTTAAGCCGTCACCCTGTAACGCTATTCGTGCCCCTCCTTCCCCCTCTCCACCCTCCGGCGCGGCGGTTACTTGGCCCAACAGCAACAAACAAGGGTCCCTGTTCGCGGAACGGCCGCCGGCCGCCGCTCTGGGGTGCACATGTGCGGCTGCACGGTCACCCCCCCCCCCCGCTCTGGAGTTCGGTGCACATCAGCACACAGCGGCCGCAGAGCCATTACTATGCATTACTCTGCACAGCGCAGCCCGGAGCGCCCTGCCCCCCCCCCCCCCCCTGCCCGCCCTCTCGATCCCCTCTGCTCCCGTCTCCAAACAGCCTCTGTTGCGTGTCTGCCCGGGTCGAGCGCACTTCGCTACAGTCTGTCACAGACACAACACAGCACAGCGTCTCACGCAGTAACTGAGCGGTGAGGATCGGGCGGCCAGCTGGCACGGAGTCCGTTTTTACCACCCCCGCCGCCGCCCCCGCCGCATAGGTACCAACCCACTGCGAATATCCGGGACAGGACTCTGATGAGGCCAACTTAACCCTGAGTCACGCCCAGCTCAGAGGGAGTGACTCCGACTCGGTTGCTGGCACCGGCGCACTCGGCCGTGACCCGACCGGGCTAGTTTTGACTCGGGTCTGACAGCCGCTCGGCAGGCATGCCAACAAGGTTCGAACTTGTTAAATAAGCCCTCCTTGGACAAAGAAACGCGACTCAATCGTTAGTAGGGACTCTGAAACAAAGAAAACTGCACACGGAAATTAACCACCTGACCCCTCAGTACCCATAGCTGCACTGCCCTGTGCGACTGGCTGAGGCCACCTATGTGTGAGTGACCCGCTGACCAGTGGCCACTCCTCGCTAGTCGCTAGCTCCCCCTCTGCAAACTCGGACTCCCTATGGCCCGTTGACTCACATTGACTAGACTTTGCAGCGAGGCCACGTAGTTGTTCTCGCTGCTGACTATGCTCTGGACGATGTGTCGACGCTTCAGTTGCTCAGCGCTGAGGCCGGCAGGCGCGGCCGGCAGCGAAGGAGGCTGGTGGCGCCGGTGGAACAGCAGCTCGGCCGCCTCGGCGTCCTCGGTCACCTGACGTCACAGGTCAGAGGTCAGAGATGGGGTCATAGGTCAGAGGTCAGAGGTCAGAGGGTACACCAAGTCAGAGATCAAAGTAGGCCTGAGGTCAGAGGTCAAAGGACAGGCGAGAGATGTTAGGTGGGATCAGGCATGGCGGTTGAGGAATGAGGATGGCTCACCCTGGAAGCAGGGCACGAAGGGATAAAATGGTGGTGTAGAAATGACCCACAGAGTGGTCAGAAATGACCCACTCCATAAGGGCTGGTATCATTTGAGGAGGCTTCAAAAGACTGTGGTAAGGGTGGGGAATCGGGGCCGGAGGTTTGGGCAGGTTGATCGGAATTTATGGGGCTTCTCAGATGGGATAAAGTGGGATTATTTACACCCAGAAAACAGCATGGATTATTTTACAATAACAACTACAAACACAACATGAGGATATTGTGGATGGTGTGAACTAACCCTTGTGAGCAAGGAGGCACAGGATCGAGTGTGGTCCTCCAAGCAGCTGATGCTCGTTGATCACATATGGCCAGGACCAGGATCACAGGAGTTCTGTAGATGGACCTGGAGGCAGGCAGGATGCTAAAACGACCAGACCAGTCCAATAAAAAGCTCGGCAGCTGATGGTCCAGCCCGGGCGAGTCGATCACTGCCGCTGCCGCCGAGTCAAGGTCAATGACATGGCAACTGACCCGGGTTCGGCGACCCAGGCAATAGCTGTCTGGAATCGAGCAAATTAAGAATTGATAAATCTCATCCCGGCCCCACCATCGGCGTTGATAGCTGACGTGACTGATTGGGTCATATATGGCAGTGATCGCGAGCGTCGTTTAATCAATTACTTCTAATGATACTGCCCCAGCAACGATGTCAGAGTGATCAGTGATGATATACATCAGAGGCTGCTAGATGACGTATGGGTCAAACGGACTGACGATGATACGTACCACTCTCACATCTGCAAGACAGCATACCTTAAGTGCCATGTCACCCCTCCCTCTCCCCCAAAGACCAACCCGTTTGCCCCACATGGCAACCCGAATCTGACCTACTTTCCACATCCCTGCACACCCTCAGATCACGACATCAACCACTGTGACAACCAACCAACCGTCGCCGACCTACCGAGGTCATCTTAGCCAGGGAGCGCGACCGTTCCGAGATGTCATAGTGGCTGGATTTTCTGAGTGAGAACCAGCGGCTCAGGCGACCCTCGCCTTCTTCTGAGTCGCGGCGCAGCATTGGCGCGCGCTTCTCCAGCGAACTCTTGCGCTCGACGGCCGGTCCGACCGGCTCGGACGCCGCGCGGCCGTTCTTCTGCTTGGGCTTCTGCTGGTTCTGCGACGGCCGCTTCCGCCGCAGGAGGCCCTTGATGGCGCCGAAACTGCAAGAGGGAGAGCAGAGCGTTACATATAGGATGATACACCGCAAGGCTGGCGGATGGCGGTGCAGACTACAGACTGGTGGACTACATATCGCAAATGCTGAGATGATCAGAAGTTCTCAACGATTAAAGCCCTTGAAGACCATACAATTATCGATAGCATTAAACATTAATGAACTGCACGGCATTGCAAAAGGCTTGTAGGTATATCACATAAATACTATAAAAAGTCCCAGGCAGCAGTAGCGGCGGAACACCTTCAATTAAGGGGGGGGGAGGGCACTGACGACTTTTGGTTCCATTCTTTCCATGCAACACCCATAGGGCTAATGTTAAAATGCCCAAATTAAGGGGGCACGGTGCCCCGGTGCCCTCCCCGTTCCGCCGACTATGCCAAGCAGGACATTGCGAAGATTATGAAACCCGAATCAGGCGGCAGGCGTCATTGCCTTTTCTTTTTTCGTCTCCAATACTCAATAGACCCTATCAGTCGGCAGCTCAGCTCAGGGACTCAGTGTAACTCCTGATGACATTAGAGTCTAAAAACGTCATCCGGTGGCAGCTGTTAGTTTTGGTTCAAATAATACCATCGCCGCTGTTACCGCTACCTCTCCTCTTCCTTTCCGGCAACCAATGAATGGACAGTAAAAACTTATAAACTGAACGTTAGGATTCTGATATATTCCATTTCACATTCTGGCATAAAATGACAAAACTCAAAAGTCAACAAAACTGCCAGCATTATTATGTTAACTAAACAAATAGCTTACAATATCTTTTAAATGAGATCATCCCGAGACCGCGGGAACGACTTTCATCGTTAGATGAGGTGCTGGGAGCGTCTCGATGCGAATGTGTAGAAATCGCCAGTCAATTAGCCATTCGAATTCCATACAAGCCTCGGATATCGGACGAGAGTGGATTCGATACACACCGTCTCAGGTATGAGACACACGCGCGCTGCGATGTGCCACATCATCCAATTTCCCTGCGGCACTGCACGGAGAATGTCTCAACTACCGTGCACCACCCGACATCACCATCGCTCCATTGTCGGCGCTGTAACGGACCGATACACTCGACATCGATGTAAAAGGCATGCTCTCGTCAGTATGCAGCATGCAGACCGGTGTTGCGGTGTTAGAACCCTCAGCGATCGGCCGGGATGGGCTGGCAACTAACGGCTCTCAGCCATCGGCCGGTGAGGCGACGCTGGGCAGCACTGCGCCGCCACAGCGCCGCCTTTCACGCGGCTATCGGACCTCGTGAGTAAAAACGCGCTGCTGGTTTTTGTGGCGCCGGCGCCGCGGCGGAAATGACCACTGACCGATTCTACACGTGCAACTTCGAGCGGCGACCGGTGCACGACTGTACGAGGAAGAATCGCCGCCCATCGCCGAAATCCGCTGTGTTTTCCAGATGGTGGTGATTTCCGTGTTAGAGAAATGACTACTGGTCGCAATGATCCCATTCAGCGACATTTTTCCGAGATTGTTACTCGATCATTGCCGTAAAATTACGCGACATAACGGTATTTCACACTCAAAAAGCAATCTTAAAGGTGAGTAAAAAGCATCTGGGACATCGGGGACATCGGGATCGGATCGGGTGACCCGGACCTGCCAGGAACACAGCAGTGCACGATACATTTGCGCAGCAAGTCTGATATTGCCTTGATGTCGCCCACCCGTCCGCCGCTGTTCCCAGTCGGTCTCAGTACAGAGCAGACCAGCCGCCCCGCCGCCGGCGGTCAGGTCGGGTTACCACAGGTCGCGACGGGAGGCGTGGTACTAGCGGGGTCCGTGTATGTACTGTACCGGCTGTCGGGTCAGGTATCGGGCTGCGGGCCGGACTGGCGAGTCACTGGATAACTGCGAGCACGACCCGGCGCAGAAAATGGACGCAGTTTCACATACCGTGAGATGCTATCATGCTATAAAGGAATATGTGAACTACCGAGCACAACAAAATGATGCATAGATCGCCAGCAAGCAAGCAAGGTGTAAGCAAGCAGATAAATCAGTGTGTGTGTTGCTATAGCGTGACAAAGCAGCTCTAAGTTCCGCACTGTCGGCTGCACTCGTTTGAGTTTTCATAGTCAGTCGTTCACGGTGGCTGACCTGACCTCCGATCTTCCTCCCCACTTCCTAGGATCAAAGGCGGTGCTAGCAGCGCAGAAGCACGTGCCAGCCAGGGCAGCTATAACCTCAGGGTCACAGTGCAGCGGCCCGGGCCGCCATCAGTCATGACGCAGGAGCGCCAATGTCACAACCTTGTGCCCCGCGAGAGGGGTGCCAGCCATTCGGTAGGAGAGAGGCGAACGGACACGGCGCCGCGACAAGTCTGCTGGAGTTTGACTAGAGAGTTGATTCGTTGAATGTAGCATTAACTTATAAAATATTAGTCGGCATCTCAATAAACACTGTGAAATGGACTGAAAAATTATCCATCTGGCCGCTGGACAGCGAACAAGCAGAAGCGTGACGCAAGTCGTGTCGTCCGGCTAAGACCTGGCTCCGTGGATTGCGGCACAGCATACCTTCAGGCGTTCACAACTAGTGACATCTGTCGGCAGCTTTGGCGGAACTCAGCATTTGCGTGAGCGGAGGAACTCGCAAACATTTAGGCGTGGTCGTGGAGGCAGGGCACGACATCCAAGCAGAAAAGTCGGACCTTGGTTTCGTGAACATATTTCTGTTTATCGAAATGGCGATGGCTTTAAAATCAAGACAGACTGCCAACCGGATACGACACCCCACCCAGCTCTCATAGGTCAGTCTAAGATTGTTGCATTCAAGCTTCCATTTTTGGTCCGGCTCTCTCATAAACTTCTGGCGTTAATATAACGTTGGTTTATTTCCCAACGGATGGTCGCCTGGCTTTCTGAGCTGTTCTGAGTCCTGCCGTGGACACTGACGGCAGTCAAATGACTCATATGGCCTGTCACCAGGGTCAGGGATCCTGAGCCGATCGCTAATACCTCACCGCCAACTCAACCGTTGGCTCGACGGACCACGACATCGGTACCGCCAAATGCAGGCCCAATATGTCAGCACCGCGCTGCCGAAAGGAACGTCAGCGCGGTCCCTTTCAGTCCAGCCTGACTCCCTGACTCACAGACCGCAGAGTCATGCCACCGGCTGCTGACTCACTGACTCAGGGCGAGGCACAGGTTCGGCGGCATTCTACGGCTGCAGTCAGACAGCATCTGCTGCGGTTAGAGTCCGAAAACAGCCGCAGCCGGTCCGTCGTCTTACATCCCCTCACCCCTTTTGGCTTGCACTGCTGCACCCATGGCACCCATGGATATCAGACGGAAGAAGCATCAGGAGAAAACAGTGTCAGTAGCGAGGGGGCAGTGTCAAACAGCGGACCACAGGCCGCGGGGCGAAGTGTCAGCCGTCGCGGCCAGTGTCAGCAAGGCCCGCCAGCGCACCAGGTATGGCCGCTGCCATGACGCCAGGTCCTAGAGCGCCAGAGTCAACAGTGCGAGTCATGGGCGCGGCGACCGCGCGTCAGCCGCACCCGACTCGCCCCGCGCCTTATCAGGGGTCAACATCAGAGAACGACACCCGGACCGGCAGACCGGCGATCCACCTCGCAAGGTTCATAGGGGTTCACGACGGCGAGTTCGCTGGCCAACAGGGCGGGCAAATCAAAACGGCGCCGCTTTAGAGTTTATCTGTCGTTAATCTGGCGGAGGGCCATGCCTATCCCGGCCGGCTGAAGACAGTGACCTCGATGAGGCGGGGCGCCAGAGTGCAGCGGGTTCACGGGAAAACGTCGATCACAGGGGAAGGGAGGGGAGGGGAGGGGTGGCGACCGGCAGGCGCCCGCCCGGGGTCAACTATTCTGGGGCGCCCAGCACCGCTGATGGCTGAGACGAGCGAGTCATGTAGATCAGAATGACGTAGGTTATGGAATGCTCCGGCGATGGCGGTTCATCATGGATGAGACGGTATCGAAGAAGGCTAGTTGTCGGCAACCAGCATGATTACGGTAGTTATGAGAATAATGAGAAAGTCGACACCACACTCGGAGCATCACGGGCAGACAAACGTGCCCTTACACAACATGTTGCGCCACTCGGCTCCGATGCAATCTGCCGCAAACTACTATACGATGCAGATTATGATATTTTGGACGATGTTATTGTATCTCAAGTAAAATGCATACCCTCGCATCTTTTATTGCATCAATATGCTATGTTGAATCCGCGCAGATGAGCTTAAAGGGACACTCCCACCTTAACATTAGTTTTGAGTTGAGATAGCCAAATTGGTGGCCATGGCCTGCAAATACCGGTTTGGGCACTCACAACATCGAAAAATGTTTTAATTCGAAGATATGGAATTTCAAACTTGCAGTTTTCGGATTCTAAGGGGCTAATGCATTGGAATGCCCCCTTAGAATTTGTGACGTCAGCGGAGATCTAATGATTTTTAAATCTTAGACTAAAACCATCGTTAACACGTGGTGGTATACGCTGCTTTGCGCGCAACGTCTGCCGCACTTTAAGGCTGCCAAATTATTGCTTCCAAATAAAGTAGCTAGTAACAGGGGAGATCCCAAAAAGTAAACAAAAGTAAAAGCCTAATATCTTGAAAACCAGTGAATATTTTTCGGTGAAATTTGGTAGATATTAGTTTTCGCTCTTTCTGAACCAAGGGACATCACTTTCATGCCAATTCATTAACTTTTTTGAAGGTGGGAGGGTTCCTTTAAGCCCACAAATGCCAAAATCAGTAGTGTTAGTTTACGTGTTCCAAAGATAGCATAGTGATTCGGGTAGTAATGTCATCACCATGGCAGAGCGAGAGAGCGAGAGAGAGAGAGAGAGAGAGGGGAGAGAGAGAGAGAGAGAGAGAGAGAGAGAGAGAGAGAGAGAGAGAGAGAGAGAGAGAGAGAGAGAGAGAGAGAGAGAGAGAGAGAGAGAGAGAGAGAGAGAGCACAGCAGCTTCAATATTGTAAGTTACACCTGGCAACTCTGATTCAACGGA